AATGCGTTGGTGTTTTCTTATGTAAGCAATGGACAGACAAACTTAATAACCTAGAAAGTGGATAAAAATAGGTAAATAAAACACATTTAACGCAGTAAGTCGCGATGAATATTAGTTAAACTTATTTGAACGTCTCAGATGCTTTGCAGCAGCCGTGGGGAGGCGAAACATCGGACCGCAATTGAAAAAAATTGTAAATAAGCTTACTAATATATATGGCGTTTTAAACCGTTAAAGTGTTTTATAATGTGTATTACTCGCGTAAACTACAGACAGTATTTAAAAAAAAATACTTTTGTCGAAGCTATGCAATGTAGGCTTAGGGAAGGTCGTTTCCGAGATGGATGGCTTTACAACAACTTATCAAGTTGGTTTGAGCTATATTGGCTTCGGAAATACACACACCGATTCAGAATTCGAATCTACGCCGTCACGGACATCTATCTTGGAGGGTAGTTCGTGAAACGGTAGGAAGGTCAATACTCCTACCGTGTATTTTATGTCTAGGTATTAGTTCCGAATCTACAAGCAATGTGTCCCCCTTTTTAACATCTACCTTAAGTATAGAAAAATATATAATAGTGACCATGGGCGAGTGGGGTTTCTTACAAATGTCTGGGTACATACCAATATATGGGGGCCATTAATTGACTATGTAAGACCATGTGGGGGGGCGGCGATGTCTTATTTTTTCTTAAAAGACAGGGGGCTGGATAATTCTTACGTATGTACGTTTACGGACTTGTTGGTGTAATCGTGGCAATGTATAGCTTCTAATCGTCCAATCGAAGTCTGGAAACCTGCATATTAAATTTCCGGGTCACGTCCAACTACTACAACTACTATTCTTATTTTTTCATATAATAAGGGAGGGAGGGCGGTCGACTAACAAAAAATGTCTCACGTAATGAATGGCTCCATAGTAGTATTAAGTCACGTTATTACGCTTGCCCGCAGAACCTTAACAAATGGCCCTTAAATTTTTAAATCCGTCCCTGTTGAAAACATCACGGCTAATAATGATTATTGTGTATTGTTATTTCAAATAAACCCAAGTGTACACACACGTTTACTGGCCATTGTGTGCTCTGCTAAGTGCAAGACGTCTGTTTACTGAGCGTGCGTCAGCTAAGTCAATTCGTACAAATTACGTACAAATTTAACTGTTTAGGTTTGTTGTCAATAAATGAGGTTTATTTAACTTACAAAACAGCACCTTTGTATGATAGAGCGGGACTCGATGGTAGATGAAATACTCCAGCCATGCAACATCCAAACAAGATGCGATGTCAACATATTTTGGCTTTGGATATGGGGAATTCCACAGACTGAACCCGAAGCGCGATTAAACTTGACGGCTTTCGCATCTCTTGATGTCTGGACATCTGGACGAAATTTCGATATTCCTACCACACATTTAATATACAGATGTCCAGATGAAGTCAACTATGTTTCAGAAAATTTTTGAACCTGGTAGAAATCGAACCCACGACCCGTTGATTATTACATACATTGCTGCCATCAACGAGTTCTTCGTAGCATATGCTTGTTTATGGTAACACACAGCTGAAGTGTTTACTTTCAGTCAGTCCCTGTATTATTAAGGTACTAAAAACAAAAAAATGGCAAACAACGCATCTCCGTTACATGTTACTTGACTGCAGATCTATCATGCAGTGTAATGCATAATTATCTGAATTCCCATATCATAAAATATACAATTATCTTGTTCACTTATTTATTTAACGATAGTTCCCATCCGTACCCACCAGATCTTTTGTAACCTAGCAGAGACAAAGGTATGTCGCGCCGTAGTTACAATAATTTCCAAATAAGTTTAACGAATACACATCGCGTTTTAAATTAAACCGTTAAACTTAAAGTTTTTGATTTAAAATTAAAAGGTGACACAGTAAAATTGGTAGAACACGTAATTCTTATTTTTGCCACTAAAGTCAGCCACTAAACAAATTTTGTAAAACAAATAAAAACGTAAGAAAGCAAATATGTGTACGTGTTTAACAAAAAATTTAAGTTACTTTGCGGTTACTAGTTGTATGACACTACTTTAGTATTTGCAAATAAACCATAATGATGCAAGTAAAACGCTTTTAACCGTTTAAAACTTATACAAAATGTATTAATTAAAGTTATGTAACTGGCAGTTAAATAAAGATGGAGGATGTCCCTAATGTCAAAGTATTAAACTGTTACGCTATACATGCCAAGAAACGAGGGAACATCAGTCAGTTCTGCAAACACCAACTACAATGAAACAGATGGCGCTAGTGTAGCAGTTTTTATACTTCGACGTCCTCCATCTTTAGTACCCACTTGACCATGGCTTCTGCAAAGCATCCGAAACGTCGGGCCGCAGTGTCAATAATTTGTAAATAAGATTAACTAATAGTTTTCGCATTTTAATGAATTGAAAATGTTTCATTTAAATGTGTACTACTCGCATAAACTATAGACAGTACTTAAAATGATGCAAGTTTAACTTGGATAGTAAAATTCTGATTTTTTATACTTACGGACTTCGACCTGGCCGGAACGAAGTTCTCAGGGAGGGGAGGAGGGGGGGAATTAAAATAAGAAACAGAAGCATTAATAGTCTTTTGAATATATTCATTAGATTACATTTTTGGGCAACCAAATTAGGTTTTGCAAACCTCCCTATTCCACGACATCGGTTGCGAGCCACGGGACGTCCTTCGGGTCCCGTTATTCGTGCAAGTTAATCTTAAAACATAGACATAATATATTGCTCAGGACATTTTTTTAGATCATTTAAAAAGGAATCATTCTTTCATACATGTTTTTGGGTATCGTGAAACGTTTTCGCGAACGCATCGAAAACTTACAGAGATAAATAAATTCCCCTTTTTCCGCTGTGCTCCGAATTGTCACAACGCATAGTTTTATTCATTCCTCGATACATGTTCTAACCAACACAAAAAATATTTTTTTCAATTCGAACCAAATAGCTCCTGAGATTAGCACGTTCAAACAAACAAACTCTTCAGCTTTAAATATTAGTATAGTTAAAAAACAAAAAGTACTTCATCATACTAGTAATTTTTAAATTAAATGATTTTGAAATCTTTTTTAATATAGCTATAAATAATTTATACTAATATACAAAGCTGAAGAGTTTGTTCGTTTGTTCGAACGCGCTAATCTCAGGAAATACTGGTTTGAAAAAAATTGTATTTTTGTGATAGTTGGAGCATTCATGACAACGGGACACGCGGGATTATGTGGAGGTTTTGCAAAAACAAAATTTGACGCCCAAAATAAGCATTCCACGCGGACGAAGTCGCCGACAAAGCTAGTAGTAGTATATAAACACATGTTTTACTTTGCATTACGTAACGTTTGGTTCTCACTTTAACTTAAAAGTTATACAAAGCAATAAACAGGCAAAACTCAGTTTCCAATTTGTACGTGTTAATTAATGTCTTACGAATAATAAATAATCGTTATTATTAGATTATGTTCCCAAAGCCATAAAACAGATGAACTTGAACCAACTACCTCGCGAAGTACGTGCGACTTCGTCACTAGATCTTGCAAATATAGGTGTTAATTTGCATAAATAAGCTATACTAATATATAAGCTGAGGAGTTTGTTTGTATGTTTGACGCGCGAATCACAGGAACTACTGGTTCGAATTGATTTATTTTGGTTAAAGCATTTATCGAGGAAGTCTTGAGGCGATAAAATACCTCGCTGTGACTAATAGGAGCGAGGAAACAGCAGGAATGTGGACAAAACTGCGAAAACGGTTCAAGACACCCAAAAAAATATATGAAAGAATGATTCCTCTTTAAATAATCTAAAAAAATGTCCGGGACAGTATTTGTCTATCTTTTAAGATTAACTTGCAACAACAACGGACGCGGACGCAGCCACAGTCAGTCTTGCAAACATAGGTGTTAATTGACATAGATAATAATAGTTATAAAATCGAATTTCAATTACGACGAGGTCGTTAATTTAGTGCACACTCTGTGAACTTTATAGTGTCGAATAATTGACGTTTTTCCATTCGGTGTTTTCATTATTTTCCTCAATTAAGCTTTAAAATATTGTCCAATAATTATTTCATTTAAGAGTAATATTAATATTGTTGTTACTTATTTATATAAAACACGTTTAATGGTTTAATACAGGAGATGTATTTTACAAATCCCATCGTTTCGGATGCTTTGCAGCAGCTGTGGTCACGGGGAGACCTCGTATTATAGAGTATTTATAGAAAAAAAACAGCAGAAAATAAGTAGGTAAGACGTAACAAAACACTTAACGGTTTAAGACAATATACTAATCAACTTATTTAAAATGACAAACTATCGGCTTATAGTTATATAATTATAACTATCGTAATAAGATTCACTTAAATTTTCCGAAACTCTTATATCTTCGCTTTTGTAAACTAGCTGAGCTAGTCAGATAGTCAGCGACTTTGTTCAAGTAAAAAATAATAATTTTGCCCATCGAAATTTGTTGATTGCGTCCCGTCGTTCTTACAAGTTAATATTATAAGATAGACATATAATGTCGCGAACATTTATTTAGACCCTTTAAAGAGGAATCATTCTTTTACACATATTTTTAAGGCACGATGAACCGTTTTGGCAGCATACGCATTTGAAACTCACAAAGATAAAATTATAATAATAATAATATTCCCCGTTTTTTCCCACATTTCCCGCTGTTTATTTTATAGCCCGCCTTAATAAATGGTCTATCTAAAACAAAAATATTTTTTCAATTTGACCAGTGGTTCCTGAGATTAGCGCGATCAAACAAACAAACACATATATTAGTATAGATTAGCACTAACTAATTTAATGCCGCGAAAGTTCTTATTTGTGTACAATCACAAATAAGAACACTAATAAAATTCCTATTTATTTCTTTCTTTATCTTAATTTCGTTCTATTGCTAATTAGTACATTATAATAACGCAACTATTTTTCTTTGTGATAAGCAGAAACGAACTCGACGAGGAGTAAAGATGGTGGCACGCCCGCGTTCCCCACACGGGGCTCTTATACCACAATTCTACGCTGGAAGAAACATCTTCATAACCGGAGCTACTGGCTTCATGGGCAAGGTAAATACTATTAAAACAAGTCAAAGAAAAAAATCATTTATTCAAGAATGTCACCAAACTATCTTTATATTTACTACCAGTTCTCAAATCAAGGGCGGAGAACGAACGAGAAGAACTGGCAATAAACTCGCCGTCACTCCTTTTATCGCCAAGTTTCATTTTACAATCTTTGCATTTTAAATGCACTACATATTTTTCACGTTAGAGCGGGTTCCTTCACACCCCAAGCATTTCATCTCTCAAATCTCAAATTTCATCTGGGTTACGAACTTACAACTAACATATCAAAAACCGTGAATTTTAATTGCGTTTCGCCAAAACCAAAAACAGTTGGATTGCTTGGACAATTTGTCAGGATAAAGGTATATTATGTAGTATTATGACAGAGGTAGGTAAACACCATATTTATCCGTCCTTCTCTTTAATAAAAAAAAAACACTTTTGTTTCGCGGAAGTAATTTCAAGAAGTTAAAAAATCTATTGTGCAGATAGGACTCAATGCAGGTAGGCACGGCATCCTGGTGCTTTTATATTTATTTTATTTAATTGTCCGTAAATAAACATTCAATAGTGAAACATAATATAAGTCCACACTAATTTTACTTATTGCGGAAATTATGTTTTATAATGTTAAAATTATTTTTCTTCTAAACCCTACAGAATTTTAAATTTGCATAAGTTTAAATGTATGTTAAATTGACACATTAGGCCCTTCATTAAAACTTCCAAAGTTATATTTTTGTATCGCTAGTGAACTAACGACGTAGCTAATAATAACTTATGCTAGAATTATCACCTGCATAGTCTTGTCTCGCAAACATATTAACAGCTGTATATGTGGACACGGCAATTATGGCGTCTAGATCTCGAACGAACCAAAAACAATTAACAAATAAGAAATCGCAAAAATGTGAAACAGAAATAAACATTTTCCACATGTTCCACATACATAGCGTAGTGTAAAATTTACGAAAGTAGTACACACAAAATACAATACATTTTACGGTTTAAAACGCAAAATATTCTTAACTCATTAACAGGGAATTAGGGACACCCGCGATCTTTAGACCGACCGTGACCACGACCGCTTTCGAAACATCGGGTCGAAGTTAAAAAATAAGTTAACTAATAAATGTATACATAATAGATATTTACTATTACACTATAGAAGACTGTAAAATTTAACTTGGCGATAAAAGGAGTGACGGCGAGTTTATTGGCAGTTCTTCTCGTTCTTGATTCAAGAACTGGCAGAAAATGTCAATTTAGAGTCTTTACTTTTTAACTGGTGTGACGTTCATAACTGTATCTAGTTACCTACGTGAATAAATGATTTTTTACTTTGACTTTGACTGTGATCAATAATTTTGTGTGAGATAATAAATAAAAAAACCTTAAATTGTGACAAGTTTCTTATAATAGAATCTAGATCTAGAGAATTTAATGTATAAAATCAAATAAAAATAAACTCAAAACAATTTCTAGGTCCTGATCGAAAGACTGCTATCTACCTGTCCGAACATCGGTACTCTACACCTGCTGATGCGTCATAAGAAAGGAGTTTCGCCTGAAAAGCGGTTGCAGCAGTTGAAACAATCACAGGTTTGTAAGACGAAGAAACAGCACTTGCAACTTGAATAGTCGAATAAAAACAAGAATCGAATGGAAGTATGGAGAATCCCTTCATGACGACTTCATGAGATGCATCGGTTATCTAACACTTCTATGCCCCGCCGAACCGCAAACTATATAATATTATCTACATCAGATTCGTACCAAGGGCTTCTCTGATGCGAAGTGAAATATGCTGGTCATAGAAAGTATTTAACGCTCACGAGGATCTCGCCGTAAAGTGCGTGTAATGAGTAATATATTTAACGTTTTAAACAGTTTAAATATTTTTTAATTCGGTATGATGTGTGTTGTATAAAAATGTCAATTTAAAATATTTCTCCCTTAAATGAACCACATTCTAACGGTTCAAAAAATAAATGTATTAGTTAATTCATATATTAATTAGTACTGTACAGACATTACATAATGTATCTTCACACTTAATATTACAGGTTTTCGATATCATTCGTCAGAACGATCCTACGCAGCTGGACAAACTGAACTTCATTCCCGGCGACGTGTCAGAACCCAACTTTGGGATTCTACCTGAATATCTTCTAAAATTACAAGAGGTGTGTAGCATCTACCATAAAGAGATATTAGTTGTTGCTTTTAGCTGATTACCTCAAAATGATTTATTGTTCAATCTTTTCCAGAACTCTATGCAAATCAAATCTGTATATAGTGTATTTTTGAGAGTGTCTCACAAGGTTTACCTTGATTCACATTAAAAATAGTTTTTTTTACACACTGGATTATATATTAAGCTAGCTCAAATTCACTTAGTAAAAGCCACAATTTCATGCTCAAATTAATAGAAATCCTAAAATGCATTTACGCAATTGCACAGATTAAAATTTCTTTAGTTTGACATTTACATAAGGACGGTATGTAAGCAAAGTCAAGAACAAGAAGTTCTAGTTATGCACACTCGCTGAAATCGCGCTACTAACGTTGTGTTAAATAATATTGACATAAAAAGCATTAAAAATAAGTCGTCATAAAAGTGATTTTGAATATAAAAGGCGTTTGGTCCATGTATAATGGATATTTCTTTAACTCTAAGTCATCTGTGGTAATGACTACACTCTATAAAAAGGCATCACTAGTTATCTATGGTTTGAAATCGGCCATGTTTGTTGTCGTCTTTTGCCAAGTTAGGAAAAATGCACTATAGACTAATTATTTGAAATCTGGACTTCTGGTGGAAAGCTTGTTCAATTACTGATGTGTAAGTGTAAAATTCTTCAGGTATCCATAGTGTTCCACTCTGCTGCTACTCTTAAATTCGACGAAGAACTGCAGAAGGCTGTTGAACAGAACGTGCTATCAGTGATAAGACTCATGGACATTTGTGACACTTTGCCTAACATGGAGGTAAGAGTTCACTTCTAAGTACACTATTTCACTAATCATTTATTATCCACATTTCCAGATTTCAGAAAAAATATAAACCGGTTAGAAACTTGATGGACTCGGTGGGAATCGAATCCACGACCCATTGTCTATTAGCTATACATTTCTAATGAACAACAAGCCCGCAAAACGTAAAACGTATTACTTCCTGTCTGTTCGTCTGTCTTTCACCTGCCTGTTTTTAAAGAACCAATAACAACATAAGTAAATTTAAGAGAGGTTCACATGAAAAAATGCTATTATTTTTCCCTTTTTATTGATATATCAATTATGGCTTGATTTATATTTGTGTACGTAAGTACATAATTACATATTTAGCCTGTGTTTTATATCTATCTTTTCAGGCCTTAATCCACGTATCAACCGCCTACAGCAATCCAGAACTCTCGACTGTAGAAGAGAAGGTGTACACTCCGCCCATGCCCTTGCCACGGCTGCTAGCCCTGATTGACGCTGTCCCTACCAATTTATTACAGGATATCACACGCCAGTAAGTTAGCCTTATTTCTATAACAGATCTAAGATAGAATGAAAAACCAGACAGAACAGCCTGTTATGGTCTACGGGGTAACAGTGGCTAAAAGCTAATGATCAACGAATCGTGAAAACGAAAAGAAAGCAATAGACATTGCCCGGTCCGACATGTTTGTAATAAATTTATAATTTTTCTGAAACATGTTGGGCTTGGCCTGGATAATTATATCGAAATTCCGCCCGGGTCAGGAACTAATTTCAAATTCAAACTACCGTTATTAGATAAAAGCCCATGAAGTTTGATCGCGTATCAGTTTCAGTCTGTGGACTTCCGAATATCCAAAGCCAAAATAGGTCAACAGCACATCTTGTTTAGATATTATGACTGGGATATTTAACCTACCATCAAGAGAACGCCATGCTTGGCTGTGCTCTTTTATCACCTCTAACTTGGCAGCAGAGCAGGAGATGCCAGGTTCGAATCCTACTAATTTAGAACTTAAGGGACATTCCTGGCATATATTAGCCTAGATATCGTAAATAGGCAACCTCGTTCCTCGAGAACTTCTTTTCTGTTCAGATCCGTTAAGGGTTTTCTGACATTTGCAGGTACATTCACCCGAAGCCAAACACATACACATACACAAAAGCCATGGCTGAAGAAGCGGTCAAGACACGACCATCGCGACAATATCCTGTCGCTATATTCAGACCCACGATAGGTGAGTGGTGCCAACGTATGGCTAAAAATCAACGGGTCGTGTGTACGATCCCCACCGGGTCCAACTGCCAACATTTGTCTAATCTATTTAATTTTTTTTCTGAAACATGTTGGATTTGTCACAAGTCTGTATTAATGGATGAATGGTTAAATGGATGGTAGGAATATCGAAATTTCGTCTTGGCTGTCGTGGCCCATGAAAAAGGTGTGAAGAATCGCGTTTCATTTTCAGTCTGTAGATTTCCCAATGTACAACGCAAAAATAGATCAACACCGTATCTTGTTATAATGTTACATGGCTGGGGTATTTTGCCCTCTGTAATAAAAAATAGTATATCCTTACACCTACCCACAAAATAAATTATTTTCTATTTCTTATCTCCTGTACTTCAGGCTGCCTAGAAGAGATCGCTACATGGCGATAAGGCAGCCTTTATTTATAAGTTAGCACGTAAGATTTTTCCTCATTGATATGTATTTTCTGTGGTGCGTTTTGTAAATATTAAAGCAATAATAAATAAATATACTAGCTGTGTCAGCGCCGTCATCCGCGTAGAAGTCATTTTGAGCGTACAATTTGTTTTTGCCAACCTCCTCAACATCTATATACATTTAAGCAGTTACTCACGACGTCGGTCGCGTCCCGTCGTTCTCGCGAGTTTACCTTACGAATAGTATCGCGGAATTTTTCTTAGATCATTTTCAAAGAAATAATGCTTTTATACTTATTTTTTCCTAAATCTTGGGTATCGTAAACTATTCTCACAGCGTACGTATTGGAAACCCAACACAAACATGGAAACAAACCAATAAGGAACGAGTTTTATAAGTTAAAACTGTCTTTCAGTGATTTCCTCCTTCCGTCACCCATTTCCCGGGTGGGTGGAGAACCTCAACGGACCGAGTGGGGTCGCAGCTGCTGCGGGTAAGGGGGTACTCCACGTCTTCAGGCGGTCACCGAACATGAAAGCTGATCTCCTGCCAGTTGATGTAGCCATTGACACTTTGCTTGCTGTTGCCTGGGAGACCGCTGTTGATAAGTATGCATTTTTTTTTAATCATCATTTTGTCTATTTCAATAGGAATCGATTAAACGACACTCTCAAGGATCGCGTCTGGACATCTCTATTTGGTTGTTTCGCAAAACTTCGTAAATATTCGGTAATGCTCGGTAAACAGAAGGGTTTCTCGGTCAGTCCTTGGCGTTTATTTCGTTCTCTGTCTTGAGCGCAATCCGTTAGAAAAGTGATTGTTTAAGTTAAATTTTATACTATTACATATTTCTCTTTTGTTATATTTTTGTTTTGTCTCAGTATTTTAGTGAAAGATAAGTGTTCGTAGCCCTTATTTTCTCGGAATCAATTATTGGTATGTTACTTTTGCTTGCTATATGTAAAATCTTCAATTTATCCCAGTAACGAAAATAAGTGGCAGTATTAGTTTTCTTTACGAGTGTGCATGCGCCAAAGTTCGTCTTAACTATGTTCAGACTTGCCAAGTTACTGCGGCCGTATTATATTATCATAAAATATCACTTTATAAATTAAGTTTATTTATTTTCGTCGAAAAATTTTCAAGTCATTTTTGACTTAGGCGATCATATTCCAAATTATTTTCAAACTGGTCTCGGTTTTTTTTTCTGAACTATTGTCTAGTTATTAAGAAGTCTTACAACTATATATTTTGCACCTTCTACTTCTAGTGCTGAATCTGGTCCAGCTTTTTTTACTCCAAATCTAAATTCAAGGGCAATTGCAGGTAACGAGGAAGACTTTATGTTTATTTGCAGGCTGGACCTTACCTTACCTTGAAAGTTGAAAAAATAGATTATTATAATGAATGTCTGCAACCAGAAATTATAGACCCACGAAAGTCCAGATAGATGCCGCTGAGAATTACTTTTTACTAATTTTTATCTTTTAAAATTCATATTATACTTTCCGAATAAAATGCTTTATTGAGCAGTAAAAAAATATGAACTGTGTATGAATATGATATTGTTGTATTTACTGACAACTACGCCCTTAAATCATGGACAATCAATTTCATTATGTATCAAACCCCCAACTCACGCACACAGACTCTTTTGCGTGTGTGTGACTAAATTTTGCTCTGAAATACCTAAACTTCACATCGCGCGAAAGGTGTAAACGCTCTTAATGAGGACTCATTCTTTTAAACCCTTAAAGATGATTTTCCCCGTTTCTTCCTCATTTCACAGTGATGTTTTAAAGCCTTCATCGATAAATGCCAACCAATGCAAAAATACATTTCATTTAAACCAGTAGCTCTTCAGCTTTATATATTAAACAATTATTGCTTGTGTAGAACATAAAATAATTTATTAATTATATTATTGATCTCATTTGCTTCAGACCGACTGACGTCAAGGTGTATAACTGCAGCACGACGGAGAACCCCACGACGTGGTCGGATTTCGAGATGGCTCTCAAGAAGTACATTCCCAAATTTCCATTGGACGCGGCTCTGTGGTACCCTTCGGGGACAGGAGTCGAGAACCTGTAAGATTATTACCGTATCGTTTGACACCTTTAATATTTTTCACATGACTGCACTATATAAATTTAAAAACGATTAGAAATTTAAAAAATATACGACACGGCCAGGACTTGTATCTTTTCCTAAACACCATCGTCAATTTTTAATTTATTAAGGTATAATTTATAAGTATAGTAGCTTGGACTAAGCTTTTGAAAAAAAAAACATTTTTCATATGTTATTGCATAATATGACGGTAGCTCAATTGCTTAGCAACAGCATGAAAAACTCTGAAGCCAGGTTCAAAACCTGCTTGTGTCGTAATTTATTTTCAATTTAAGATCGATTTTTATTTTGTAGAAGGACGCTTGTTGGCTTTTATATGATAATTTAGTTTTTTGTTGTTTTCTATTTTTTTATTAAGCCACAGTGTAGGTTATATCAAATGTTCTTTTGACTACTTAAACAATTTTAAATTTTATTTGAATCTTAAGATATACTTACAGGGAAGGAATTACTTAATCAAATTGGGTCATTCAGTAATTTAATTAATTTTTATTTCTAGGTACGTTCATAAGACTTTGCATTTTATACTACATACGATGCCCCTGTATTTAGCTGAATACATCTTTAAAACTTTAGGAGTCAAAATGGGGTAAGTACAACAAAGAAAAACTACGCTAAAATAAGCTTAAATGTGTACTTTACGCGAGTAGTACACATTTAAATAAGACACTGTAACGGTTTAAAACGCGATATATTTTAGTTGTGTGGTTTAGAGTGTCTCTGACGTCAAAGTAAAAATTGCTACGATAGCTCCATCTGTTCCTTCGTAGTCGGTACTTGAGGAAACTGGCCTTGCAGAATTGACTTACGAAACCTCAATAATTTTAACTAATATGTATATCGCGTTTTAAACCGTTAGTGTTTTTATTTCGTTACAATAGCTAAAATATTTACTTTCTTTTCTATCCCCCCTCTAATACCTATATTGTTATAATGATTTTTATTTTCTAGAATAAGTTTGATAACTGCTGAACGCAAGATGCGGGCTATGAACGACGTCCTATCGTTCTTCGCTCTCCGACAATGGCACTTTCGCACTGATAACGTCAAGAAGTTAAAACTACGACTTACGCCGCAGGACAGAATGATCTATAACTTGGATCCAAAGAGTATAGAGTAAGTAATAGAGGCATAGACTAAAACGTCTTGCCGCCATAAGGCCGCCCATTGCATACCGCACCATAAGTCTCATTCACTATAAGTCGTATTTTTTATTTTCTTTTGTGCAATGAAGAATTAATAAATAAATAAACCCACTTCTTTCGCGTGGAATCAAGGGGTAGAATTTTTGATTGCGCATTTATCGCAGCCAATCTATGTTGTAAGTGCTACTTTGCAACACTCTCACCTCACATCACTCCTACTCTTACTCCCACTCCTATTCGTACAGAAGAAAGTTTCATTGTTCTAGCTTGAAAAACCACAAACTTTCACCCATAGCTGGCTTTCTCAGGGTCTAGACCATCTCTGTACCAAATTTCATTCAAATCCGTTCAGTAGTTTTGACGTGAAAGAGTAATAGACAGACAGAGTTACTTTCGCATTTATAATACCTATTAGTAAGGACTTAGCAAGCACTTAGGTAAGGCACAGTAGTTAAAGCGAGGGAAAGAAATTTAATAAATCGTGAATTATATTCACTAATTAGCCGTCGTTTATTGTAATAATAAACTGGTAGAAAGTGCTTTGTTTAAAGACCGACATTTTAAGTAACACCAGTTAAAAAGTTTGGTACTCATAGTAAATCAATACAACTTTTTCAGCTGGGACGATCAATACAAAAACTTCGTCATAGGTACAAGAAAATACTTGTTGAAGGAATCCGATGATAACATCCCCGTTGCAAAGCGTCATTTGAACAGGTAAACATGAAATACCCCAGCCATAACATCGCTTTCGACCTATCTTGGCTTTAGATATTTGGTAATCCACAGACTGGAAGCGGAACGCGATCAAACTTGTTCATGGTTCGGACCCGGAAGGAATTTCGATGTTCCTACCAGCCAATTTAATATCGAGTCCAACTTGTTATAGAAAAGTTATATTAATTAGAAAAATGTTGGACCGATCTACACGGTCCCACAATCCGTTGATTATTAGCCGTACATTGCCGTCAAATATTAAAATGAAGTAGAAAATATTTCCTTTTCCCCACTAATTAACAATACATTATATTTTTCAGACTGTACTACATCCACAAAGGAGTAATGTTGTTCTCTATAGTTCTCTTTCTAAGGCTCCTCTTGCAAAATAAGTATATAAGAGAGATCGTCTACGGGACCTTGAGGCTTTTGTTCTCTCTTATTAGCGATGGATATACTTCCATTGTAAGCATCGACTGATAGAGACAATTTACCTTATATAAACAATAATAAGTTATTACTTGATTGATGTTATGAGCAACTTAATGATTTAAGTAACGTACGTAATCTTGAATAGCTTGTACTTTTTGCTCAATTCTACGTACGTAATTATTTAATACTGTATATTAATAATAATTATAGTTACTTGTATATATTTAACAAATCATATCGGTAAGATTTACTAATAATATTTAATGTTTATCATTGAAATGCAATATTGTTGAACAATGTAAAATAGGATGTTATATTTTTGTATCGTGGATCTGGTTAATATTATTTCAAATGTGATCATAAGTTCTTATAGCTGTTAAGGATAATAAATGTTCTTTTTATAATTATGTCTTTCCCTAGAACTTTATTTGTAACTTTATAATAATTATTTAAGCCAGGATTTATATGCTCTATATTTTGATATAAAACCATTTTGTTATCGAACTCGTCTGAGTTTTAAAAAATATAATTTAAAAAACAAAACGGATACAAGGTGTTTTGGCTACTTAGACATATTGCATGTTGCATTATAATGTTAGTCAGAATGACGTGTGTATTGTTTCAAATATGATAATGATATATACGAAAGAAAAACCCCTACAATTTATTGCTAAGTATCTTTAATAATATTCAATGTACCTTTATAAAACGGGAGCAATTTAAAAACTAAGTTGCGCCCTGACGGCCACATGTAATATAGATACATACTTTTTACCTACTCAAATTACCATCGACGTTAATAACAATCATATAATATTGTAAGTCAAATTGAATAAGAAATTACTAAGAAAATTGATAAAATCGCTAGTTGACTATGATTTGCTTTAAATTTTTTTTAAGCAATTCTTTCCTTTTTCCTTTTTAATATATTTTCTATCGTAACAACTTATAGATTTTATATTTAAAAAATTAAGGCATTATTACGTCACATACCAGTTACCCACACCATAGAACCACAGATAACAATAGAACTTATTATATTGTTGTCAATAGATGGCAGTAAACATCATTATTTTATCAATATGTCAAAATTTGACGTTTGCGCAGTTGTCAAAGTTAAGAGCCGGAGTTCGACGGCGGGCTGTGATGTGATTTGTATTTCAATTTCGCTTAGAGATGTTCAACAAAGTTTTGCAGCGGGCGCTGAAATTCCGCCTGAAGAAGAGTTACCCTACAAACATTTACGATTTAAATAGAGGTGCCGCGATCGCCGTTCGCCGTCCGTACAGCGATGAAGTGAAACGAGCTCAGGCGTCTAGCGTAGCCAGCCCCGGCCCGACTATTTTCGACAAAATCATTTCAAAAGAAATAAAAGCAGACATTATTTACGAAGATGATTTTTGTCTAGCCTTCAACGACGTATCTCCTCAAGCGCCCGTCCACTTCCTCGTGATACCGAAGAAAAGCATTCCTCGTTTGCAAGATTGTGAAGCCTCGGATAAGGAGGTATGTAGAGTCAGAGGTCACATTCCGATCTACGTCACAAGTCTAGAGCAAATAGCAGGCTTAAGTGCACACTTCACGCCTAACTCATTACATTGCTGTTTACAATGTAAACTTAGGTGCCTCTTTTAGCTTTATATTTAGTTAGCACTTAAATTAAACAGATAAGTGAGTCTTCACCACTTATGTTTATCTAAATAGGTATTCAAAGTTATCACGGCCCATGTGTCTTTAGTAAAAAGTAGAACTTTTATCAAATTATAGAAAAGACTTTTCACAAAAACATATTTAACACAAGCAAGTACAATGCTCTTATCAGTAAACTCATGTTGACACAAATATTACCTTCTACAAAAATGGATCTTATCTGTCTGAAAATTAAAGATAAAATTGTTAAAACTAGTATCACATTGTTTGACTTGATTATATATGGTTATCATACATTCCACAAGATTTAGTCACGTAAATATGCTTACAAATATAGTAATGGTTATCAGTGTAGAAAATTTCTTTATTTATGAAATTATAAAACACATTGATTTGTTCTTCAATTAAAAACTTAACAGTTATTTTGGTTTTGTAACTTGAGTATAGTAATTCTAACTTTCCCCAAAATTTTGATTTGAACCACTGAAATATGTATACATATGTATACAAAAAATAAAGATAAGAAATGCTAACGATTTAATTTTAATAAATCCTCGAACGAATTTTGGAAAAAATAATGTCAAATATGAGGGTGCAAAAATGTATAATAATCTCCCCAATATTCTTATCTTTATTTTTTGTATACATATGTATACAAAAAATAAAGATAAGAAATGCTAACGATTTAATTTTAATAAATCCTCGAACGAATTTTGGAAAAAATAATGTCAAATATGAGGGCGCAAAAATGTATAATAATCTCCCCAATAGCATTAAAAACGCAAATACTATTAAAACATTCAAAAACGTACTTAAAATTTATGTATTTAACAAGATAAAAACATAAAATCATACATATCTATATATCATTATACATATATATAATCCTTTATAACTTATCAACAGTGAGAACGAACCTTATTTAAAATATAGGTATACATATTTCAAACTACGATATATAGAAAAGCATCAATTCCAATGTCACATCTAGTAGCCTTGTATCAATGTAATTACTATTACTGTAATGTCACTTAGTGAGTAATTGTAGGTAGATAATATTGTATTCGCTTAAAATGTTCTTCTACCTACCTTTGTTACAATTCATTTATTTTAATGTTGCATAACTCTCAGTGAGTATTATAACTCTTATAAGTAAGTAATTAATGATAAGCTACGTACGCATTAGTTGCAATATGTTACCTTAAGTGAATGTATATTCTTCTGGTAATAAATTGTATAACAGTGACTGAGTTACAATTTCAGATTCTTGGACATCTGATGCTGGTTGCTAGATCTTTGGGATCCGAGAGGGCTCCCGGCGGTTGGAGGTTGGTGGTGAACAATGGAAGGCATGGAGCTCAGTCAGTATACCATCTACATTTACATGTTCTAGGTGGTCGGCAGATGGGATGGCCACCAGGCTAATTGGTAGGTCTCACCTGGTAACACCGTAGATTAAGCTGTAGCTAAAAAGCTAGTTTGCCATATTTGAATTTTTAAAATAATAATTAGCACAAGATATTCCATTTTATATTTTGACATTTTAAACATTCAGTGTTGCCAGTGCACTTGTGGATTGTGAAATTAATAGCAATTCTCAAATGATTTGTAAAAGTAAATTTTGGATTAACTCCAACTGTATCAAAGGTATGTTGAAGAAAGTACTGTGTCTCTATATTGGAGAAACTTTTAACTTTCTGAATATTGAATTTAATTGAATCAACTCTATCTAGACTAGACCATGTTTAGTGTTTGAGTAGGGAATAATGATTTTGTATTTAGTGGTGTGTAATCACATCATTTAAATGGGGTGGAGTGGTGAGTTGTGCCTTTTCATAAATATAAGTAAGATGTACCACATCTGTTATCTAGCTCAAAAGAAATCAAAGAATTACTAAAGATTTTGTTATATGTAATTTTACGGCCATTGTAGTCTTTAGTGCAATAATATCGCCAAATTATTAGCTTGTATCAATTGAAAAATATTCTATGGCATTTAATGGTTTTTTAGTTGTCATGATGTGCATGGCAAGTAGGAGCCTTTAGTTGTTTTTAAGAAAATTATGAATAACTACAGTTTGATGACCAAAAGTTAATCATTATAAATACTGTGGTAATTAATACGACAAAACTCGATAGTACATCATTTGAATCTCAACCTACAAAGCGCTCACAAAAGTGTTAAGTAATTACAAAAACTTTTTATGTTATCTGCTATTTGTATTTATTGAACAGTTTTAATCAAATTGTGAATTGAAAAAATGTAATCTAAAAGTCATGTAATAATTGTTGGTTTTCATGGTATTTTAAACATACAAACGAGAAATTATCGGACGGAATACCTGCCATGTCCCACAGCATTCTAATCAGTTTGTCATTTTTTTAAACATGTTGGACTTCGTCTAGAAATCTGGATATAAACGGTTGGTTGGAATATCTTCAGTCTGGTTTTTCGAATATCCAAAGCCTAAATAGGTCGGCAATTGTTTTATAGTTGGGATTTATAGCTGGCGTATTTCACCTTTCAGTAAACGCTTGTCTGTTCTCCTTTATCATAAAAAAACATAAGTTTTTATTAGCTATTGTGAGCGTGTCTTACACCAAAAATTCTAGTCATTCCTTAGTTTTAATGAATGTTACTAATAGTTGTTATATGGATGTACAAACTAAATTATCTTTAACAATAATAGCTATAAACGTATTTTGGCTCTCAGCTTGGTTTTATTAGAAATATTCATTAAAATTTACTGACTTTTTCATATATTATTGTGCCAACTAGGTATCAAGCTGTGGTTTTTTATGATTTTTCTAATTACAAACTAAGAATTTATAAAGCGATTGTAATGTTACTGTAATTGTAAGAGCTCTATGTATTGCGCATTGTAATACCTTTTGTAATTGTAATAACGGTAAGATTGGTTGTGGGTGTCTACGAAAGTGATTCGAACATTTTTGTACGAAAAGTGATTCGAGTCAATTCAAAGTACAGTAATTGTTTGGAATTTAATGTGAAGTTAAATTCTGTAACCAAAGGTATTTTTAGTAATAAATTGTTATAACATTTCTTTTAGTCTTAATATTATTTATTTTTTACTCGTTATACCATTGACCATTATTTTAGGCATTTTGCAAGTTCTTAAAAATCCATATTTTTATTGAAGTATTAATATCTATACAAGCTTTAGTTTTAATTTTAAGATTTATTCAAGGTGTAAATTTATGAATATTTAACATTCTATATTAATTACGTTGCCTATACAATACAACTTAAATTGGAGAAAACGTATAATCTGTAGTTTACGTGAGTAGTACACATTTAAATAAAATACTTTTAACGGTTTAAAATGCGATTTGTATACTTTGATTAACTTTTACTCCGGTCTGATGTACCAGATACTTTACCAGATACCAGCAGCCGTGGTAACGGGAGGTACTTACTAATAATAAGTTTACTAATACATTTATTTCATTTTTCAAAGCGTTAAAAGTGTTTTATTTTAAGAGAGAGACTAAGGCATGCAGAGGCAAATATGCATTTTAAACGTTATTTAAAATGATATAGTGGCGAGTTTCTAGCTAGTTCTTCTCTGTTCTGATTTTTGATTTCGACTTGACTATAATAAAAACTGTTAAGTTGGTAGACGCACTAACATCCTAATAATAAAGACTATACGCTTGACTTAGTGTTGCACAAGGAGCAGGTGGATTGTATACTGCGTACGACGATGCACATGTCGGAGCAGAAGCACAGGGTACACTGGCCGGAGCCGGTGCTTCAAACACGGGGCTTGGGTTACACGAATAGGCTGGCGCGGGGCTCGCACATGTCAGACAGGTTGGTGCTACAGAACATGCTTGGCATGTAGATGCAGATAATGGTAAAGACGGAGCTGAGTTACATGTACAACTGGGAGAGGGAATAGCAGGTAATGTTTGACATGTAGGTACAGAGCCACACGCTAGACAGTTACAGGAAGATATTAAAGGTGCAAGAGCAGACGCAAGCACTGTCGGTAGTGCGGATTCTAACAGAGCTGGTAACGTAGTCGCCAAAGACGTGGATATGGAAGATGACAAGATCGGTGTTAGCGCTGATAAATCCGCGTAACTGGGCGCCGTGGAGCTCGGGCAAAGCGGCGGTAGAAGTTCCAAGGGCGTCGGGGACAAGTTGAACGCAGGTGTTAGCGGCAGGCATTGTCCTAATGCTTGCTGCAAAGTATAATTCTTTAGTATAGACAAAAGTAAGTGTTAAAGTAGGTAATAACAATCAAAGAGACGTGGGATCGATCCTCACTGGTTCCAAAAGGGTGCTAATGTAATCTAATTATAATTTTTTCGAAGTATGTTGGATTTTTGGATAATCTGGTTAATAATCGGTAGGAATGTCGATATTCCATCTGGGTCATGATCCTGATCATCTCATCATACCGTCCACTGATGAAAAAGGCCGTGTATAATCGCTTTTCGGTTCAGTTTGTGTGTCTCTGCCCCCGTCATAAAAAACCATTACTATTGACACTAATAGGTAGTTAAAAGAAGACAAATTGGTTAAATTATAGAAAAATTAAATATTGAATTGAAATTGAAAACAATTTACTACACGGGTGGGAATTGAACCGACATCAGCAGCGTTCTGGACTGCTGCTTTAACCAATTGAGCTACCGTTTTCAATCTAAATAGATTTTTCATTTATGTAATGCCATCATCATTATAATATTAAAGTTTTCTAAAAGGACTTTTAAAATTTAGAAACTGTTTTTTTTAGATTAAATAATAATTTACTATTTACAAGACATAGTCTTTCTAAAGTTCGTGACAAAAAGTCTAATCTTGTAACGTAACGAAACTCACCTGCAGCAAAACAATACAAGTGGCCCCAAATAGAAACATTTTACTCACGATATTCTTCCACACCGTGCCCTATATTCCAGCCTTTATCGGATTGATGTAATAACTTACATGTTTTTATGTAATTAATAAACGTATTATTTTGAAATTACGCATTTCTACGGTTTCAAAATGTAGGTAATTGGTACAATACTGTACATACATATACGTCACTAATAGGCAAACATTTGTTAAAATTTAGAAATAATAATTACCAGTCGGTCTGCAAGGTGTAGGTACCTGCTGTAATAAAATTTCTCAATTAGATTCATTTATGGTCTCCGGGAGTACGACCACGTGTCAGAATTCCGTTAAGCTTAAATGGTTGCCGATTAGACTACGACGCAACACTCACATCCTCTGTCTTCTTTTCTCCATCCTCTTCGATCCACGCACTCCTGCCTATCTTAAACAAAGGTTTAAATTTATGGGTTCTTCCCATGAACTTGACCTTCGTTCCTCATACAACCGTCTCCTTTCTATGCCTGCCCATTCATCTAAATGCTACGAGTCTTCGTTTTCTGTTCAGGCTGTCCGCCTGTGGAATAAGCTGCCACCCGCGATAAGGTTCCCACAAAGTCTTAACTCCTTCAAGGCTAAAGTCAAACAACATTTTCTGGAAAGTATTGTGCAGTCTTGATTTTGTGGGCTAATACTTTTATTATTTATAAAGTTGTATCTTTGTAAAATCAAATAATTCTTAAGTTTTTTTTTCTCTTATTCTTGTTGACTTTTACTCATTTATTGTTATTTTCCTTTTCTTTATACAAAGGTTGCCTGGAAGTTTGTATTTTATTAGTTTGTGCAATAAAGTGTTTTATTATTATTAATAAGAGTGTGAAGTGAGATTGAATTTAAGGATCGTTTAAACTTGACGGCTTTTTCATCTGTGGACGGTGGTTCGTGACCCGAACGGAGTTTCATATTCCTACCCTCCATTTTTTTTATTTTATCCACACTTCCAATCGATGTCCAACGTTAATCAGAAAAATTATAAAATAATTACAAACAACTTTGACCCGGTGGGGATCGAACCCACGACTCATTAATCGTTAGCTACGATTAGATCAACAAGGTCATAAAAAAAAATTAACGCCTTCTTGTCCCTCTCACGCATATGACATAAGCAATTTAACTGAAAGAGATACAATAAATAGCGCAGAATGGTTGTCTTAATGGAAATATTAATAAAAGACAAATAACGGCATCCGTACAATGTTTAATTAACTAATAATTATACGATATTCCATCCTATCCCCACATTAGGTAAACTTATGTTACGAATAAAAAGATGGGCGAAATATACGATTACATGCTTGAAAAGTTTCTTTTATTTCAATAAAATGGTGCTTCTACAGAAGGTACTCACAGGTTTTGTGTTAGTACATTATTATTTTTCACGTTTTAAACTGTTCAGTATTGTTTTAACATAGTCATCTATAATTAGGAGAAATATAAACGCTTGTTAAAAGTTAATTATTACAAGCAAGAATGTAATAACTACTTCACTTGATGTAAGCTGACCCATATCACCATCTCATTAAGATTATGCTGGCGACCTAATTAAATTAAATTCTTGCACCGACTTAATTAAATTACTAATTTACGTCTTTTCTTCCTATGATGATCATACAAATAATAAAATTTTCATGAAAAAATATATATTTACAAATATCCTGGCTATGAAAAGATGGGAACCAGTTGAAATTATATTAAGTTTTGGAATAAATCAATACACTTGTTATAATTAAATCAAATAATGTTGGGATAGTTTGTAAATAACTTTATTTAACAATATTATTAAAAAGACCTTATTTCAAGTTGAGTATCTACTATAGGTACCCCGTATGTATGAAATGGACACTATATTCTTATGTTTTCTATTCTCAACTACTTCTATTCCTCGATCGTCAAAATTTAAGCCGCCTTTTTACAACCTTGTCTATAAATCAACCAAAATTCATCTTTTGTATTTAGGATTCAAATAAATATCTTTGGATCTATAAGTGTGACAATACTTATAGGAAGTTTTATTCGTGGAAAAATTTCCGCACCAATTTCAATTTCAGTTTAATTTTGGACCGGTTAGAGTTAAGAAACCGTAAACGTTAGCCAAGTTAAAACTTGACTAAGAAATCATGATAATCATTAAAGTTGATACACCTTTGAAGGTCTGATTATTTATTTGTCTTCGACATTAGTTACATGATTCAATCAATATCATTCTTCAGTGTAATTGTTTAAGCAAATCAATACTGATTTTATACCTCGTTAAACGTTATATAGTTATAAAAAAAGCCTTTACCTTTTAGTTTTAATTAAAAAAATAAAGGAAAGGCTTATATATTTCCATAATATTGCTTATGCTGTTAAGGGAGGCGACTAATATTAGAGATTTAAATTAATAAGGAAAATAGTTGACTCTTGATTATCTTGTGATATCCAAATATATTACAATCAGTTAGGAAATATATTTTATATGCAAATGAAACTGAACGATACTTTTCGTTATATCCTTATATATAATTGAATATTTGTACAACAAGATTTTATATAGAAAACATTGTGCATATTAAAATTGTTTCCCTAGTAAAGCAATAACGCCATCTTCGCGTGGGTACACGACGTTTCGACACATACAAGTGTCAAGTGTCAACTTGACAGTACATTTCACATTTGTCATTCAAGTGTTTAGAACAAATTATACTCTGTTTAGTACATAATGTTAATTCTGACAGTGGCCATGAATTTGGCTACAAATAATTCCAGAAAGTGTTTTGTATAAAAACAATACTAGAATACAATGGAATAAAGATACTATAATTATTTAACTGACGTTTACTTTGGAAAAATAAATAGGAAATATATTCATTCACTGCCACATCTAGTCAATATATAATAGGCAAAGTATAATTTGATAAATAGAAACAGATTCATGATCTCTAATCACATAGAATATTCGCCATATTTTTAAACTACCCTCATTATCCTTAAATTACGCAAGGTACGAGTATGTGTCGAGGTTTCCCGGGGAACGTTCCAGGTATTGCTTGTCGATTAGGGCTTCGATGCACTTCTTGATCATCGCAACCGAGGGGGCGAAGGAACCTCTTGCTTGCGCAACCACCTCTTGAATTAGCTCAGTGTGACGAAGAATCTAAAAAGAAAACATAGACTTGAGGATTAACATAACAAACATATTATATGGGTAAAACTACTTTTGTTTGGAACTTAGGGTTATTTTTAGTTTAGTATACTTTTTGTACGAAATACATTAGTTAACAGATTCTTAATGTACTTTCACTATGGGCTGATTCTTACAGAATTGACTCATGCTGTCCTCTTTTTTTTATAGTTAAGTGATGGTTCGCATTTAAAACCCTTAAGTGATGTATTTCAATGTGTACTACAGACAATGCCTGTTGTTGCAGGCAACGCCATCTATGGATCCATTCAATATATTGTGGACAACGTCATCTATGTGTTCAATAAAAACTATTATGAATTAAGCCCCATCACCTCGGAAAAGAAATCACTCACTTTGCAAGTCTTGTACAAACCTTAAATAAGTTTTTTACACGCCAAACGAATTTTCAATCTATCCGCAATTATAAATCGAAACACTTTTTTGTTACTTGCGGTCGAATAACTGACCTTCCTCTGTTTCATGATGCGTACAACGGCGGCTTGCAGGTACATTTTCCTATCGTCGTCACAGTGCGTTGATTCACTAGAAGCACCTGCTCCCCCCGGGCCGTTTCCACCTAAGATAATGAATGAATAATTTCAGCCCTTATTGTGGTAACTTCAATATAACAAAAAATACGTATTTGACATGCGTACTTTAATTGTGGATTTATTAGACATTCACCTTTGAGAGTTTCAGTTGTGTGCGCTGGGGAAACGATTGAAGACACCCAAAAAATATGTATGAAAAAATGATTCTTCTTAAAATAATCTAAAATGTCTTAGGCAGTATGTAACTCGGAAGAACGACGAAACGCGTAGCGAGCGACGACGTAACTCCTATAATTTATTAAGGTGAAGAGGTTTGCAAAAAAAAATGTAGATGCCCAAAATAACTAATCTAGGCGGGTGAAGTCGCTGGCCCAGCTAGTAGAAGATAATATGTAGTCCATTTTTACACCTACCTTGATTCGCTGGTGCAGCTGCACAGGTGAGTCGTATCTTAGTTCGTTTACAAGTGAAGTTAAGGTTAAGGAGTAGCTCCGTTTCCTCGTCGTTTCCTTCTAAGTCCCCTTTAGCTATAAGAAGCCCCGCCTCCACGAGTGGGCGGACGTGTCGAGACCACGCCTCCTCTGGCAGTTCCAGGGTCTCTCGGGCTTCTCTTGCACGGACAGCGTCCGTGTTCTCGAACATTAGGAGTAGGGCACACTGAAATATACAATTGTTTGATATTAAGCATACAGACAGTAGTTAACCGTAGATTTTATAATTCAACGACTTTAAATTGACTTCGTAAAAGCCACAAATTCATTTTTAATTAACAAGTATCCTAAAAATATTAAATATTACGTAAAATAATGGGATATAAGCACTGCCAATAAAAGGCCCATGCATGGTTACAAAACTAAAAAAAAAGTCGGGTTAAAAGTGATTTTGAGTAATAGATGTTAGGTCCATATATAACCGATGTTTCTTTATCCCCGTGGCATCAACCTCACTACAAAAGGTCATTTCTCCAGTTCACTCACCAGTTCTCTATATTCGTTTGAAATTGGCCATACTTGTTATGTAATATCTTAAGTTTGCAATTTCACAGAAGACCATGCTAACTCGAATTATCCGCGTGGTCAGTGCTAGGTGGCTAGTATTTCCAGCAGTCGGAATTGATCAAACCTGAGGTGTGGTCGCGTTGATGTGGTATAGCCTCTGCGTGTATCGTGTTCTCAGTTCGCCCGTACATAGGTGGTGGAGCCACGCCAGCCGTCTACCAGAGAACGAGGCTCGGTAGAAGCTCTCGAAGAGACGAGCTGGTTTCTCCAGTTGCGCGGGCGGTGCTAATGGGGCCATCGCCCCTCCTAGAGGCCAGGCACCGGCTTGTAGAACCTGAAGAATATATCCCCAATTATTCTACGATTTCATACAATTATAAGAAAATATTTTTCATGTATATTTACTGGTATAGTGTTACAACCTTTACTATATTTCACATGCGTGTACACGATGGTTTTATATACATTAAAAAGGACAAGTTTTTAAAATTGGACTCGATAATTTCATCTTCAATAATATCTTAAGTTGCAAAGCATAAGACATCGAACCTGAACACGTAAGTATTAAGCTTTGGAATTACATTGCGCGATGTATCTATGGATTGAAGGAAACGACGACGATGTCTGAGACACGGTAGCTTAATTAAAGCTGCCATGACTAGTCGAATTTTTCAATCTTATGTAGATTTATTTCAGAGAGATTATTTTGAGGTTAATTGGCGTCTTTGAAGTTTTCAATGGCAACTCACCTGTATAAAGAAGCCGGTGTTCGTGGCGAGATTGTTTTCCCTCAAGTACTGCTGGAACTTCGCGTTGAGGTCGGAGGAGACGGCCACGTCGGTGAACATCCGGTGCAGCTTGTTCGTGAACTCGTAACCACATGCCGCTTTCAAGCGATTTATCATCGCTTCCTCCTGGAACATTATATAATAATACATTATATTTTATGATAGAGGACAGACAAGTGAGAAGTTCACTTGATGGAGGTGGACCCCATCCACGTCTAAACAAGATGCGTTATCAATCTATTTTGGCTTTGTACATTTAGAACTCGAACCAACGATCCCTCGTGCTTACCGCAATGCTAAGTAAAGCGTTTAACCATTGAACTTTGAAACAATTGTTTAACTTAATAGATAATCTTAACATTAGATATTGTTTGAGAAAGAATACATACAACTGTATTGTTTAAAACATTTAAGTTTTAACTAAAAACGCCAATTATGTTGTGGATTTCACGCAGCAAAGATGCAACTCACTTGTTCCATAGACGCCGATAGTTGGTGTATGAGACGACGGGCCAGCGCACGCGCATAATGCTTCTGGAACACGTCTTTGTCGTCTATGTACTTGAACACTACTATCGCCGCCGACAGCTTGTCATCTGCGTCTCTAGAAAAAGTATAGCACTTTTGTAAAGAACAAAAATTGACAAGTGTACACTATGCTTAAAACGTATTAAACTTGAGTAATTGTAATTTCTAGCAATTAGGGATAGCAAAGTATTTTAAATAAATCTTTATGGATATTGTTCTGGCTTCATAGACTACTATCCTCTATGCCTTTTCCTCGTACTCTATGCTTTATCTACCCCACCTCCGCGTTTACGGTTTTACAAGCCTAAGCGCCGACGCGGAAGGACGCACGAGTTCTAATAAGAGCAGTAGCCATCGATGTGGAAAACGATTCGGTGCAAGGAAGGGTCGACCCTGTAGTGTTCCCAAAGGACATCATCAAGTCAAAAGAAGGATCCCCAGCCGTGAGACAGGAGCCAATCGTAAAGGTAAGTCCATTTCATTCTATACCTATTCCCTAGTTCCACATACAAAACTAAGGTTTTATAAGTACGGACGGATTCTGATGTCTAAGGGAGAGAGTTTCAAAAGTTAATTAATGGCTTTAATAGTGAAGGAGCCGTTCGAGAAGGAAGTATGCAGGTACTTATTTCCTTTAAAAAAAAACCTATATTTATTTACTGCCTTTTCGTGGAGTTTGAAAACGTTTGACGTCACGTTTGTATTTCCACCATAAAGTGTTTTATTTTAAATGTATACAGTCGTTTTGTAAACGGAACAAACCTCTCTGAACCTTTCCTTCTTAGTAACGTGTCGCAGTATCTAGAAAGTAGTTCCGGCGCACGCGCAGTAGATTCGCCCTCGGCGCGAGAATTCACCACTTCACTGCACGCCTGTGAGAAATCAAAGTAAATGGGCTATTTGAGTACTTTTTTATTATTAGGTTGAAACAAAGGAACCCCAGATTTTTAAAAATATAATACAAAATAAATTTTTGCTGAAATATATTAAATTAAAAATCCAACATTGAAACGCCTAAACGCTAAGTGTGGAAAATAACGCTACATACGGCTAGTGACGTCACGACCTTATATTGGTCATGGGTGTATGTCGACCATTTGATTGCCAATATACATGTATTTATACCAAACATTTACATGGGACCAGTGACTGGAGTAAAAGAAATGGTTGCGAATTTAATTATTAATGCAGATAAGAAGCATTTATATTAATAGGAGCGTTTTGTGTCACGTGACAAATGTTTAAAGTTTATTTTTATTTGAGGTTTTTTATTTAGAACAGTTATTATTTTTAACAAATGTGACTGTTTTACTATTTCAAAACTTATACATACTTTATACTGATAACGCATTGTCAAATATCCTAGTTTTTAAAAAGTAGTAGTTTTTAAAATAAATAAAATACTTCAGAATGCTGTGTTGGTTCTCATATTATTCGCCTATGTGTAAAAAACCTGTACACTACTGTACATACTGTGTCTGTTGTTACCCTATTAAAACTCAGTTGAACAGAGATTACCTTGTCTAAAGCCCCGATAAAAGCCTGTGCACCTCCAAACACTTCTGCAAATAGTTTCTTGTACTTGTTGTGTAGAGACAGCATCGAATGAACGAAATGCGTGTGCGCCTATTGCAAGAAGACAATTTATTATTTAAACATAAGACTGATTTTCTATTATTTATAGGCATTTTTAAACAAACACACAATTTTCACGAACCATTGATTTTCTCACAAGGTTTACATTGATTTTTACTGAAAACACTTAGAGACACTGGATTATAAATTATATTCGAAAATGAATTACTTCAAATTCACTTGGTAAAAACCACAATTCTATGCCAAATTAACAAAGATCCTAAAAATGAATACATAAAAGGGCAGATTATTACTTTTTAGTTTGACATCGCTATGAAAATTGGCCATATTTGTTACGGTCTTTTGCCAAGTTAGAAAAAATATATATAGAGTATACATTTATTTACATAGCCTAGTAATATTTAGTACTCACGTCATCTTTGCTGTGCTCGGCAGCGAGCAGCGCAAGACCCTCTTTGGCAGCCTGCGCGTGCGCAGCTTCGATGAGTGGTCTCAACGCGTTCTGACCCAGCGGCTTCAGTAGAGCGTACATACGCTTCAGATCTTCACGGCGCTGAAATGTATGTTTAACAACACCTATACTAATAGTATGCAGCTAAAGATTTGTTTGTTTGAACGGGCTAATCTAAGGAACTACTGTTTTGAATTGAAGAAAAAAGTTGGTTGCACCATTTATCAAAGAAGGGTTTGGGCTATTACATCAGGCTGCAACCATTACGAGCGAAGAGACAATGGGAAATGTAGAAACAACGTTGCGTGCGCTGCAAAAAAAGGTTAAGATATAAAAAAATATATATTCCTTCATGAATTATTTCTCTTTAAATAACATAAAAATGTCTGCGACAGTATATATATTTTTAAGATTAACTTGCAAGAACGACTGGACGTGGACGATGTCGTGGGGAACAGCTAAAACTTATAACGACGAGGAGGGTTCAAAAACAAATTTTGATGCCCCAAATAAATATTCTACGCGGACCAAGTGGTGGCTGTAGCCAGTTTAATATGTGAGCTCTATTTTATTTAAAATAAAACTAACCTCTGACGCATTGGGTGAATCTTCGCAAGCCTCTTTGAGGAGTCTCTCGACTTCCGCGTGCAGAGCTGGAAGGTGAGCAGCGACGCAGGCCTGCTCGTAGCATGTCCAGACTGCCTCCGACGAGGAAGAGTGGAGGAACTTGTTGCCTAGTGATATCTCTCTCTCTAGACCTGAAATTGATAGGATTTCAGGTTATATAGACGCATAAAATTGTTCTCATTTCGTCTCTCGCCTTCGCAGCCCTGTTTAACAACACTAAATTAGTGGTGGTAGTTGCTTTTGCTTTGCATCCAGTGCAAGAATGGAGGGTTCTAGAGTACCCCCCAAACAAACCCGTCCTATGACAGAGGGGACTTAAGTCTAGCATTGGGCAGATTATAGCTAAAAAATTGGTACATAACCATTTTATTTTTATTTGTTACATAACCAGGGATGGATTTTGGCGGGTTCACGTAACGGTAGCACTGTACGGCTAATAATCAACTTATAAATGTTCTGGAACATGTATATTCGCGTGGAAATCTGGATATTAAATAGGTGGTAGGAATATCGAAATTCCGTCCGGGTCACAGAGCACCTTCCACAGATGAAAAGGCACGTTTCCGTTTCAGTTAGTGGATTTCCGAATATCAAAAGCCAAAATAGGTCAACGGCGCATCTTGTTTAGATGCTATAGGCTGGGGTATACCCATACTTGTCTGTTCTGCTCTATTATAAATAAATGCTCGTCCTTCAACGGGAACCTTAGAACTATTACATTTCAAAGGTATATATTAAAGTATAGAAAGAGACTCACCATCTAGGACATACTTCATAAAATAGGAGACATCTCTTGCATTGAGCAGTTCCGCAGCACGCCGCGAGTGGTGGGCAGACGCCGCGGCCAAAAACGGTTCCACCACCAGCTGCTGGTACAGCGACATCGGTTTGCGGACGTTGTACGACTGTTTGCAAGTAATAATCAATAATTAACAAGAATGAAGGTCTCGTGGTCTAATAGTAACAATATATGGCTTATAATTAATGGTTCAATGGGCCCAATATGATTTTAGTCAATTTAATTTTTTTGAAACATTTTGGACTTAGTTTCAGAACCTGCATATTAAAATTCCACAAAAAAGAAAGAGCCACGATCTTTCATCGCTATGTATGATGTACAAATATCCAAAGTCAATAAAGGCCAATAGCACGTCTTGGGGAGATTTTATATAGCTGGGGTATTTTACCTTTCATAAAAAGAAACCCATGCTTATGAGTCTATCATAAAAAGAAATTTCTTATACCAGATGGACGTGGTACATAAACATGGGTAAACCATACTCCTAGATTACCTGAACTTCTACAGTACTCTGTATAGCTGTGCGCAGTATATCAGCGGTCGTTGGATCCGGGTTTGAGTCCCGGGCCGAGTTGAGAGCACTGACGATTCGTAACGTCATCGCTTCAGCTAACGGCACAATCAGCACAGTTTCCCAAATCATAAGGCCGAGTTCACCAATCTGAAAAGTTTTAAATTTCATTATTAGTTTATTTCAAAGACCACGCCCACCAACCGCCCACCAATTATTGTGTCGTCATTCTTTTTAGAGAATTGTTTGAAAGTGATCTTTCCTATATACATATATCTTTTCTGTCCTCATAAAAAATAATAATAGTCACATAGTGCATTTTTTCTAACTTTTGCCAAGTTAGAAAAAATACACACACAAATATGACCGATTTCAAACCATAGAATCAATCAAAATGAAATCTAAAATACTTTATTCATTCAGCTTAGTACATCTATGAACGTTAAAACTGGTAAAAATTTAAAACTCTAAATTTACAGCTACTACCAGTTCCCAAGTTAGGGCAAAAAAACGAACGAGAAGAACTGGCAAGAAACTCGCCGAAACTCCTTTTAACGCTAAGTTTTAATTGCATTTCCTTATATTCCTTACGCACTGATTGTGTACATTTTCTTCTTTAATAGAGCGGGTTCTTCCATATCCCAAGCATTGTTTTCATTTACGATATAATAACCTTTTCCAAGCGATTTTACTTCACTAGGAATTTTATTAAAATACCGTATGCATATACGATACAAAATGATCTCAATATAAAAAGTCAGTTTCATTATTATTTAACTGGATGTTTGTCACGTTTTTCAGCAATCTTCCACGATCGGGACTTCTACCTACTTTTTTCGAAGACTTTGCTTACATCCAATTCTTATGTAAATGTCAAACTAAAGAAATTTTAATCAATGCACAATTGACATAAATATTTTTTATTAATTGTAGCATGAAATAGTGGTTTTTACAGAGTGAATTTCAGTTCATTAGCTTAACGTATAATCCAGTGTCTCAAATTGTTTCTAGGGTAAATCAATGTAAATCTTGTGAGAAAATCACGATTTCATGTAAATTGTGTGTATGTTTACCAAAAGTGCCTAGTTATAAAATAAACTATTGATGTCCTTACCTCCAGATGCCTCGGTCCTTGATCGACGCAGGAAGTTACGGCGGCCGATCCATAGATCATATCTGCATCTGACAACTGAAATATTCGTATTTATAATTAAGCTAACACACCAGTAGCACCATATTTTTTATTGAAACAGAAGAGGACAAACGAACATGAATCCCATGTCCACTTGATGGAAGGAATACAAGAGTAATGTCTGTAGTTTACGCGAGCAGTCCACATTTAGGTAAAACACTTTAACGGTTTCAACGGGAAATATATTAGTTAAACTGTCTAAAGTGCGTTTCCCTGTGACCAGGGCTTCAGCAAAGCATCCGAAACTTCGGGCTGTAGGTATATTTTGTAAATAACCTTTCGAAATTTTGCACCTTGTACACCCACCTTTAGCCTTTTCACGTGTTGCAAGTTTAGATATGAATAGAGGCTGTTGAGATAGGTCAGACCCTGGCTGTATTCGCGCCACGCTGTCACATATCTGTAGATAAAATAATAATTTAGAACACCAATATGTCACTAATAAATCATTAATATATAATTCCTTCAAAAGAAACCTTGCTGAAAGATATTTTAACTTAAACACAATTAAAATAAAAGTACTTCCAAAACTTTAATATTTTTCACATGCCTTTGCATATAATGGCACTATATAAATGAAAAATCGAGTTTAGATTGATGAAAGAGAAAAAAAACACGGGCTGGTCTTGAACCGGCATCCACAGCGAACCGTGCTGTTGCTACCCAATCGAGCTGGTTCCTGTCGTGAGTCGTTAAAAGTCACGTCCATGTCGTCATTGTTTTACAATATATAATGGATTTTTAATTTAAAATAGTTACTCCATTTAAATAAAACACTTTAACGGTTTAAAACGCGATATATTAGTTACACTTATTTGAAAATGATTTTTAACTTCGGCCCGACGTTTCCTATTATTTATATTATAGTTACTCCTATTTTAAACGACTAACACATACAACTGACGTTGTGAATCTCACCTATGAAGAAGTCCATCATTGTAGTCGGTACTTTCCAATTCAGACGAGCCCTTGACCCTCTCTAACAATCCGGACACATGTTCCTCCAAGAATTTTCTAGAAAACAGTTAAGTAATTAGGTAAATGAAGTATAATATCACAAGAACTATATGTATTATGATTTCTTATTCTGTTTCTTTGACGAAATGATTGTGGTACGCAAATGGCAATTAAAACTTTTACTTAGAAAAAAAAATCGTTTCAAAATGTAGACATTGGGCACGATCAAAATCATGTATTTATTTATTTATTTAATTACAGCTATTGCATTTGCCTTAAGACTAACTTATATCTAAGAACCGCATGCATTCGTCTCCTAACTTTCCCAACCCTAACACAAATATGTCACATTCTGGTGTAGAATTTAGGAATTTGTTGAGCAGTGATATCATGCGCGGTATAGGCGATTGCTGGCGTGGAGTTGTACGCGAGCATGTTCGCCTTCTTATTGTGGTAACTGTCTTAGCTTTAAAGGTGGTCGCCACAGAATCATAACACCACCTCCCGGGCGACTTAGACCAGTCACCACAGATTATTTCGCTATCCTAAATTGATGCATCTAGATTTGTCTCCGTTACGGTTATTAAATGTAGGTTATGAGACATTTCGAGGATCTGAAGAATTACAAATTTTAAGAAGCTTTCCGTTTCGAAAATGAAATCCCGTTTCCCCTCGTGGAGCATGGGGCGAACACAATTCTGTATTCGTTTCACTTATCGGTATTTATTTACAGGCACCTAGTTAATCAGACTTCTGTGCCAGACTGAAACAATCTATTGTTTCCCCGAGGTTTGAACCCAGGACTCTCGAACGAATGCTTGGCAACGCGTTTAACCATTTAGCTACAGAGATGCAGAGGAGCCTTCTATTTGGTACTTATTTTCTTCATGCAATCACGATCACCTCAGCAAGCCGTTTGTCGTCCAAATCAATACTCACTTAGTTTCATCATATAACTCATTGGCTAATGGCTCCGGATGGGCAACACACAGCGCATAGACGTCGGAGAAACGAGAATTCCACACAGAGCGCTCTATCGCTTGAAGAGCCACCACATCTGCTATCTGTTCAAGATCATTAACGATAATACCATTAAACCAATATAATGAATATATTCATTAACTCGAATATTTTTATGATGTTTGCTTATGTGATCTATATGAAGAACGCTATAATCCTGAATGCTGTACGAAATACCGAACTAGCATACTGTTCCAATTGCTTGAGGGCAGTTTGTGTAATAAGAACTAGTCAACACACTAATGAGACAAGTTATATTGTGTGTACAATGTGACTGTATGACCTCTTGAAACAAAAGAGGGATTATAAGACAAGAGAAAATTTTTTCAAACTAAACCTTTATAAATGAGTTAAATGCTAATATTATATATAGGTGTTATGTATTAGCAGTGTTTGTGTGCAAAACTATTTTAAAGTACCCACCGTTTCCTTAAGTTTAGCCCAGGTCTCCTGGAAATTTACATATCGTGGTTTAAGTGACATCATTAGTCACTTTAGGTACCTGAAACAAAATAGATATTTAAGTATAGAAATGTTGACTCCATTTTATAAATTAATTAAATAATATGAGTTACTAAAAAGTTGTTACAAAGATTGTCGTTGAAAACTAGTTGCTTGTTATTTCATAAGCAGTAACTAATGTAAATTTTGGCAATGGTAATTGGTATAGCATGCAGCATAAACAACAAATCTTAGAAATATAGCATTAATTTGGGTATAATTTTAATGAAATTTAACATTGTAGAACCAAGCGAAAGTAAAATAGTAACCTCTAAGAGAGAAGACAATTTATGTTAATAAACTAGTGTCTAGTTGTCTAAATAATGGACATTTGGTGAAAGTTAATCCTACAATGGCTATATACAGGATCACAATATAATACAAGCTATTAATCATAGAGCATTTGTTAACTGACAGTTAACGTTTATTTTTAAGTCAATAATATGATCAATAAGACTAATTGTGTAACAAACATTTAACGACGACGCAATACAAAATGAAAATAAAATATTTGACACAATATATTAACCTTAAAACTATGAACAACATAGATATTAATATAACGAGAATATATAATAGAGATAATATTAATTGCGATTAACAAAGAAATAAGGTACCAGTAACAGAATAAATTTGGCAACTTGACAACGGCAAATTACTCAGCAGAATGAGATATTTTTTTATTAAATCGACAGTTTTTAATACTTACACATTCAAATTAAAATAGATTTTCCCTGTCCTTGTTATCAAAACGATTTCAGGCCGGTTTTATTTCAATAATTTCGAGAATTATCCAAGAAATTGAAAATATTAGGACTTTGTATTTCGTAAACTTTATTTCGGAGCAAAATAAACTGTTATGTCAATTGTCAGAAAATAATTTTGACAATTTAAGATTGATGTAAATTATTGACACTTCATATTGGAGTTGGTGTTGCCATCACGAAATTGATGTGAAGTTTATAAATAAAGAGACTAATCGTGATTGCTTTGAAAAAATATAAACCTATCATTTATATGTTATATAATATATCGGCATAATGTATCTCTTTTATTATAAAATTAGCAACGCAAAACTCATTTGTAAAATAAGTCTTTAAATATACATTAGTTTTGTTAATTACCCACGACAAGCATTTTATTTTTTTTTATTTGTTTTTATAGAATCGCCTTAAACACAATCAGGCAATGAATAATCAAAATCTTTAAGCTTTATTAATTAACACTCCTTGGTATATAGTTCAACCCAAAAACACAATAATAATATTGAAATACTGTAATAAATTACGCATGAGAATTCATTAAAATAATGTTTAGGATTCTTAATTTATCGTGAAAGCTATATAATATAAAGAATTTGATGTTTTCTTGAGATGCGTGCTTGACACACTTTACTATGTATACATAAATGACTTCGTCCTGAAAATTTAAGATTTATAGGTATATAATAATAAGATTGCAAATTTATTCCTTCCCACGGTTTAAAAAACATGTTATTTAACAATAAGCACTAAAAATTTCGAATCAAAACACGAGTATCCTTTATTTAAGTATTTGGTAAATAATTGTTGTAGAGAGCCTATGTTGTTCTATTGGTATCAACTACCCTTCTGTGAGTGATGCAGGATGGTTCTATATTTTGTTTTGGCACTGGCTTAATGGTGAAAGAAATCCTTGCGAAAGCGGCTAATGGCTTATAGTAGTAGTTTCGGCTACTCTGCAAACACCAATATCTAATTTGTGCGTGTAGGATATAAAAATCTAATAAAATACCTTATTATATAATAATACACTCAATTTACCGTGGCTAGAGTCAAAGGTTAAACGCAAAGCGTAATGGCGAAAGGTTCAAAGCCAGGGAATTAAGTACATTTACGGTTGGGCAGAGCACAGCAATCTGAATCTGACCTTGAACAAAATGGGCACAATTAACCGATGCCTCGGAAAAATCGGTCTCACTTAAAAGTATTACAAAAATGTTGTAATCGTTTGTTTCTATATTTCTTGACTTAGGATTAATTAAAAGAATATTATTTGCTATAAAATGTGACGTATGTGACGTACAATAACATTTTCTAACTAATTATAATATTGAGAATGTTATTTTATATTTGCTTTTATTTCTATGTTAAACTTAAATGTTTCTGCCTTTATCTTATGTTTTATCTTTAGTTTTGTGTAAATAATAATTGTATCTATACTCTATAGTTACCGTACGAGTCAAAGTCACAACAACAACATCTATGTATCTATTATTCGTTAAATAAATCTAGGTATGTGCCTTTAAATAAAAGAATGGCGCGTTTTATAACAACTTGGCGAATTAGTTAGTCCAAGGCAGCAATGTATAACAACCAACGGATCGTGGGTTCAATTCTAGCCGGGTACAAACTTGTTTCAAATTTTCCTGAAACATGTTCGACTTCGACGAATCGGTGGTAGCAATGTCTATTGGATAAAATGAAGTTTGATCTCGTTTCGAGAGCGCATCTTTCACCTTCCTTCAAGTGATCTCCGAGCTTGTCTCTCATCAATTGTCTTCAAAAATATCTAACAAAACACGGGCAATTAACTAGTTGTGCTGTACGTCATAATCACTTGCAAAACGCTAGTCATAGAAGTTACTGTAAAATTCCTCACGTTTTCGCACAGTTAAGTTTAAGCTATTGCAATTAAAAGACGTTTAGGAACCAATAATTTATCTATAGTTATCAGATTTCGGTAAGTGAGAAATTCATGTTTCAATTTAGTGGGTATTTAAATAATGTTATAATAACAATAATGTTACAATAAATAATGTTATTTGTATAATGTAATATTTAAAAATAATTCCTAAAGGTACTTTACGAATTGTGTCTAAGTTGTGGATGGAAGTGGAGAATGAAAATGTTATTTTTTAGTTCATTGAAAATACTACTAAAAACCAAGATGTTAGTACATAAATAAAATTTCACAATCGCACACTTTCGAAAAGTATAAGTCGGCATAAATAAAGTCCCAGTATTGTCTGTAGTTTGCGCGAGTAGTTTAAAATTCAAAATATAATATAGGTTCAGTGGCGTAGCTATCGTAGGGCCAGGTGGTGCAGGGCTTCTGAACTTTGTAACCCTCTAACCTCATTTTTCTAAAGATATAAGCGTAGAAGAAAAGTATTCTTCTAACATAATTTAATAAACTAGTTTTGTTGCTATTTATAATTTTGGAAGTTCATTTAATTCAAACTAGGCTAATAGGGGACGAGGGCCCGATTCTTTCTTTGGCCCAAGGATTAGGTAGACCGTGCCGTAGTCAACCTAGCTACGCTACTGTATAAGTTATCTTATTTTTTAGTTAAAAACATCGGTTCATAGTTAAATAAATATGAATATATTCCACGTTTTAAACCGTTACAATGTAGCATTACATTTTATAATGTGTTTTATCTTAACGGCATAGATCTTAAATACGATCTAACGAAAATCCATCAAGTATGGGGTTTTACCAATTGGTTTTAGAAATTACTAACAACATTAGTGTTATTTTAAAAACTGAGTAATTAACATTTCAGTAGTATATTGTATGTTAATTAGAGTTATATTTATTAATTTAATAAATATGTTTCAAACTAGAACCTTTATAATTTAAAAATCGAAAGTGAATTGAAAAAAACTTCGACTGAGGCAGTACTTGAACCGGCATCGTCGGCGTTCCGTGCTGTAGCTCTGAGCAACAACATGCGAAAAAGCTTTCAAATCTTTATAATTCCTCAATTAGCTACCAGACGATATTAAATAGAAAACCCGTGACCACAGCTGTAGGTATGTACTAAAGCATTCAAAATGTCGGGTCATAGTTCAAACCATTCGAGTTTTAAACAGTGAAATGTGTAAATATGCCTTTCGGTTTTAGGATTGCCAAATGTTATGTGACAAATAATAAAAAAATTATCTTTTGACATTTGGTTGGTTTTAGTGTTGAAAAAAAAATTAAAACTGATGGAAAGCAAATAAAAAAATAAATCAAAATCGTAATTCAAAACTAGACAAAAACCAATACGTCTACGTATAATCATAAAATCTAGTAATAATTAATTTATCAAAGTATTATAGGTTAATTGATTGAAAAAAAGTTGTTTTGCCAATTTATATAACTAAAGATAGGAATACGAGGAAATATTTTAATATAAAAATTTGGTGGTAAAAAAGCTGGAAAAAGCTCGAAAACAAATTGAAGAAATTTTCGACTCGGGCATGACTTGAACCGGCATCGTCAGCATGCCGTGCTGTAGCTCTAACCAATTGAGCTACTGAGTTTCATACGTCATCGTCGAATTTTTTCAACTTACTGATACATGCACCTTTCGTGCAATGTAATTTCGACTTAACTAACTTAACACTTGCGTATTAAACCCTGACGATGCTGATTTAAGTCGCGCCCGAGTCGAAAATTTCTTCAATTTATTTTCGATTTTTAATTTACGTATTGATCAATTTATCTAATTATATGTATAAAATTATTCAATAACTTACATCCCTAGATACGTATTATCTAACATTGCCGTCACTTGTTTTATTTATAAATCTATAACTTCGCGAGTAATTCGATAAAAAATGCTATTAATAAAATATTCAACTAAATGGCAGAACAAAATATTTAAACGATATCTATTTAACAAAAATGGGCTATTCGAGCGATTTGTGGTCTTTCTCCACTTGAGTCAGCACAAAATAAGTTGAATATTCTAACGATAGGAAGTCAATATATTTATGAAAATGTTCTGTATGTTACAATAATGTTATCTACATACTTTTAAAACAAACAGTTTCAGCAAGAAGAACATGAAGGTAGTGGTACGCAAAGATTGTAAAATAAAACTTGGCGATAAAAGAGTGGCGGCAAGTTTCTTGCCAGTTCTTCTCGGTCGTTCGACCTTGATTTGGTAACTGGTAGAACGTGTAAATTTAAAGACTTTAGTTCTTAACTGGCAAGACGTTCATGAGTCACCTCGTAGGTAGTGATGAGTTTTGAGTTTTGACTTATTATTATCCCACTGATGGCCATAAGCTTCATCTCGCGTAGTGGTGATTAAGACCCACCATACATATCTAGTACGGGTTGGCGGGCTTTTAGAACTAGACGAGGGATAGGATTTCGTAACAATTTGAAGTTTGCACTAGATTGTTTACTACGCACAAGACCAACAAGGAAATAAACCGAATACTATAAGTACTTAAATAATACATGTAAAATAATTAGGAACACAACTAAAGTTCAGAGTGTGCAAACGTTTTGCATAGAATCAATTAGAAGTAATTACTGAATCCATTACAAATGCATTTTATGTAAATAATGTAGATAAAGATAACGTATTTATAGAAAACATTAGCAAAGGTCTATTGCAGTGGATTAATCCACGATTGAATTTGACGAGTCATTAAAGAAGCAACGTACAATACGGCCGATGTAACTTGGCAAGCCCGATCAGAAATGTTCTTTAGGATGTTAACGGTGGTAAGAGCGAGGGGCGCGGGACGAAGATCTAGGCTAGTGTTTGACTCAATGTCAACACAATCGACCGCTTATTCCATCAAATTCTGCAATCGATTTTTATCGATTTGGATTATGGATTTAAAATCGTATGAGATATTGTACTAAATGGATTGATGAACACAGTGAATGGTGTTGTTAATAAACAATACTATAATTACCTTTAAAGGAAAATAAAATAATTAAAAACTTTTTCATTGTTGAACTACCTGATTTAGTTAAATATGAGTTATTATTTATATAATTACTATTTATACCTTTTATATAATTATATAAATTTTTATATAATTATATTTCTACGATCCAATTTTGTATATTTCAGTAGGAATCGATTAAACGACACTCTCAAGGATCGCGTATGGACATCTCTATTTGGTTCTTTCGTACACATTCGGTAATGTTCGGTAAACAATAGTGTGTCTCGGTCACTCATAGGTGTTAATTTCGTTATCTCTGTCTTGAGTAGTCCGTTAGAAAAGTGCTTGTTTATTGTTAAATTGAATATTATTATTTCTCTTTTGTTATATTTTTGTTTTGTCTCTGTATTTTAGTGAAAGATAAGTGATATTACCCCTTATTATTTTTGAATCAATTATTGGTATGTTACTTTTGCTTGCTATAGGTAAAATTTGTCATTTATCTCAGTAACGAAAATAAATGGCAGTATGTTTTCTTTACGAGTTAATTTTAAAAAAGTTAGTCTAACCTCTTCAGAGGTTAGACTAACTTGAGGAGGGAGAGGAGTTCAGAGCTGCCAAGTTACGTCGGCCGTATTATAGTTGAAGTTCGACCTTTGACTTTATATAAGGGAAAGAAATATATATGGCTAGTAGGCTAGTAGGTCGTGAATTCGGTTCTCTAAATTACATTACAATTTTTCTGTAACGTGTGTGAATTGCCAGCCGGTCTCCCCGTGACCACGGCCGTCGGGCCGTAGTTAAACTAAACTAATAGGACATATCGCGTTTTAAACCATTAAATGTATCTACTACTCGCATAAACTACAGATAGTATTTAACATGTTTGACTTCCATCGGAAAATATGCAAATTAAATAGACGATAGAGATCGAAAGTCCATCCAGATTACGAACCACCGAAAGTCGGGATTCGAACCCACTATCAAAGCTATGCTGCTCTACCAATTCAATTTATTTTCGATTTTTAATTTACGTATTGATCAATTTATCAAATTATATACAAAGTAAGACTTAACCATTCGTGAATTTATTAAATAACAAATGTTTTATGCGGTTTTTTTCAAAAACAGATTATAAAAGAAACAACATAATTCATATAAAGTTAAGTGAGCTTAAAATCAATAAGCGGGTTATTTTAAGGTTTTTTCAAGACTTTTCTGCTTCCAGCTTTTTTACCACCAATCCAGTTTTGTAATCTAAAATATATTTACATACGCATTTAAACATAAATTAAAAGGAAATGATACAACTCTTCATTGAAAAGGAATAAGAAACACTAAAACAAAAAACATTAAAAAATAATCAACCGAGCCAAGCACGGTCGCTTTATCGGTCATTGTTTATATTTATTTTTAAGTAGGAAGTTTATTAAAGTGCCACGGAGTGACAGGCTTCAGATTCAGATCAGGGTAAACGAGAAAAATGTCTGCCCCGTGGATTCTATACTGATATAATAAAGCTGAAGAGTTTGAGAGAGAGAGTGAGAGTGAGAGAGCACTAATCTAATTACTGGTTTGAATTGAAAAGATCTCTTTGTGTTGGTTAGAGCATTTTTCGACGAAGGCTTCTGTGGGTGTCCGTTGCGTGCGCTGTGAAAACGGTTCCCAAGATACCCAATATATATATTAGAGAATGATTTCTCTTTAACCGATCTAAAAAATGTCAGCGACGATCTATTTCTATCTTTTAAGATTATCTTTCAAGAACGGAACGCGAGAGACGTCGTGGGCAATGCCTATATTTTATACAAATGCGAGGTTTGCGAAAAAGTTTTTTGATGCCCGAAATAACTATTCTACATTTATTTTTTCACTACAGTTAGTAATTAACAGGAAATCAATATCAGGTAAGCAGGGTGTCTACCCAACACGGAAAAACATAGCAAGGGAAACGAAACAAAAAAGTTTGCGGAACTCTTGTATAGATAGATGATTTTTGACTTTGACTATAAGCATATTATCTATCTGGTTTGCCTCTCGTCTAGTCTTTATGAGAAGTCTTGGGTTCGAATTAAGGTAAACAATTAATTATTTCTGTCGGGCAGAGCACAGAAGTCTCATCAAATAAGTGGTTGCCGCACAATGAAACAGACTCACAAATGTGTTTACACTTTTTTATGCATTTCGCTGCATCGTCTTTTGTTTTTTACTATCGTTTTGTGATTCATCAGTAAAAACTTTTTCGCTTTTTTTGTGTTAAAACACACAATGAGGATAATCAACTTCAAGTGCGACAAAAATATAATAAACATATATAATTAATTTTTTACCTGGTTCTTTATACTTCTTGTTAAGCAAAACACAAAATATTTTTAAACTTACTTATAAAACGCACCGTTGTTTACGCTGGTAGAACACATTTCGAATTGATTTATTTAAATACTGTCTATAGTTTACGCGAGTAGTACACATTTAAATAAAACACTTTAACGGTTTAAAACGCGATATATTAGTTAAACTTATTTGAAAATGATTTTTAACTTCGGCCCGACGTTTCGGATGCTTTGCAGCAGCCGTGGTCACGGGGAGACTGACTGAGCCTCCGTTTTAAACCGTTAAAGTGTTTTATTTAAATTGATTTATTTAATTTTTGCCAAGAGCTAAGTTAATAAAAAGGTATATTTAGGTAAGTCATGACTTTAATCAATTGACTTAAGCTTATATATTTTATAATTATTGTATTATTGCTTTTGTGGTTCAATGGTTAAGCGTGAGAGGTCTCGGCGTCGTTGGCTGAAGGAAATAAGTCTGATGGTAATCAAAATCTATGAGTGAAACGAAAGCAGAAATATTGTCCTGTGAAGGGATTAAATAGTAAATTAATGTGCTATTGACTTTTTTCTTTGAAATAATAAATATCACTTGAATATCTGATTTTTTTGAAAAAATGCGAAAATGTAATTTTTTTTTTAGCTCCAAAGTTCATTGTTTTATGTTACTTTTTAGTATGAGTATCAGGAGATGATATTAAAGATATAGCGTTGGAACAAATAATAGGAGTGAGTATTGAGTTACTCACCTCTGTGTCCCCCTAGGGGAGAATTGGGTAAAATAGTTAGTAGATAATGTGGACTCATCATCCGGCATTCTATATCTTACAACACATAACAAGGACAGCGATAGAATGACGGTACAGTGTCCTGTACAAAAAAGAAACTTGAATCTAAATTCAAAATTGAATTCGTTTAATACATTAAACGGTTCCTTAAAAAAGGTAATAAGAGTGTATGAAAAACACGAAATGTTTTACTATTATATTCTAATTACAACGTTTCCCGTAAACCGTAAAACATTTCTTATTAAAGCATTTAAATCATGTGCATTATGAAATTTAAGACATAATAAAAAATTAATAATATGTTGAGGGTAACACCGATTAGATATAGTAATACACACTAATAACAAACTTAATTAGTGTATTTTGCATAGACAATGGTACCGAGCGTCGCAGACTTTTACGCGTCAAAGGCAGTCTTCATCACAGGTGGAACTGGTTTCCTGGGAAAGATTCTCGTTGAGAAGCTGCTGCGATCCTGTCCAGATATCCGGGTGGTGTATCTCTTGGTCAGGCCGAAGAAGGGACAAGATGCCGCTGCGAGGCTGCAGTACCTTTTCAGTAGCGAGGTACTTCAATTAAATATGAAAATTACAGTCCGTGATCTGTTAATTCTAACCGCAACCGAACATTCGGTTTCAGTAAAGTTTGATGATTGAAATAGTAAGGATGAAGTAGCAGATTAAAAAAAACATAAATAAATTAAAACTTTATAACACACTTAAGAATTTTAAAGTCTAAAGAAAGGTCTCACATTTACATTAAAAGAATGTATATTACCTACTGATAAATAATAATTTTTCAAACTAATAGATAATAGAATAAATAAATAAATAATCCGTTTATTATCACAAAGTATATAACTTAAAACTAAAATACAAAAAAATCTAAACTACCTCCGTAGTGTAGGTAGTTAGAATAATTATAATTTGTAAGCTAAAGTTAAAATTTTTTGACTGAATTTGGTGTAATTAACCGAAGTTCGGATAAACCGATGTGACCCGAACTTCTTAGTCCGTCTGTGGTGACATTGTACAAGTGTATTAGAGAATAAGATTGTTAAAGTTATGGTGCCTTTGAAAATAATTAATCCTAATAATTTATTTCTATATCATTCTCAAGATGATATTGAATCACTTGTAATATATTATCTTATAAAGGTATTTGACATCATACGCGAGAAGAACCCGCAAGCGTTCAACAAAGTAAGAATAGTGAATGGAGATATCCAGCTAGATGACTTGGGAATGTCGGAAGAAGACAGAGAAGAAGTGCAGAGGGAGTGTCAGATAGTGTTCCATACTGCGGCTACTGTTAGGTAAGTTCTTAAAAAAATCTTTTTCTAATATACGGTAAGCCGTTTTGACGTGCTCGCCGGTCTAATGGTAGTAATGTATAGCTGTTAATGAACGAGTCGTAAGTCGAACTTGGGGACTCGAACTACTAGTGACCTGATCCTGATCCCACGAAAGTCGAACTATTTGACGCTGGCTGTAATGCTTATTTTTTTATTATTTTAGGTTTGATGTTTTCATTCGTGATGCATTTAACATGAATGTCCTCGGAACGAAGAGGGTCTTGGATTTAGCCGAAGGAATGAAGAATCTTGAGGTAAGATTGGTAATTTGCGAATGACCCAAATAATCGCACGTACGCACTTTAGTTATGAAAACTAAAGTAGGTACGTGCGTTAAAATTAAAAGCTCCTTACTATTTTTAGAATTTGAACTTTCATTTATATTTAAATAAAACGGTTTAACACACGTATTATATTAGTTAACTAAAGTTTTATTTATTTTAACTACGTCCTGATGTCTCGGATGCTTTGCAGCAGCTGCGATGACGGTGGGTTGTAGACGGAGTGTTCTTAATGTATATTGCTAAGTCAATCTGCTACACTAGCGCCATTTGCTTCATCTTAATATTTGGGAAAACTGGCTGGGTTGTTATAGAAATTAGTCAATAAGTAGAGAAAGAAATAAGTGAATCTCTCCTCTGTACTGAGAGGTCGTTTTTTTAAGTTGTATTAAAACAACAGATCCCTAACAACTGCATACGTAGTTCACATAAATATCGTGTTACTTATTAATATACTTCATATTTCGCGTTTTAAACCGTAAAAAGTGGTTTTATGTGTACTACTCGCGTAAACTAAAGAAAGCCCTAAATTATTAATTATAACTTGTCAATAAAAATAGGTATTTCTCCATACGTCGACATCATACTGCCGGTCAGACATTGATGTATTGGAGGAAAAAGTGTATCCGGCCAGACATAGGCCGCATCACATCCACGACTGTATGCAGTGGATGGGCGAAGATCTTTTGAAGCATTTGGAGCCCAAGTAAGCCCATTTCAGGCCACTTTCTAAAATAAATGTTTTTTGTGAAATTGATAAAATTTTCTTTTCCCTTTTGTCACAAAAATCTAGACCTCGTTGCCTCAGCCTCAGCGGGGCATGGGGCGAACACATTTTTGTATCCGTTTCACTGATCGATTTTATTATACACATTGAAATTAAACACTTGTAACGGTTTAAAGCGCAATATATATGTTAATTAAGTTAGTTACCTTATTTGGTGCCGCGGTGAACAAAGTACAAAGTACAAAGTATCCAAAACGTCGGGCCGTAGGTAAAATCAGTTAAATTTAAGCTATATGATATATTTCGCGTTTTGAACTGTTAACAGTGTTTTATTTTAAATGAAAGAATCTCATTAGAACAAAATATTCTACGAGTATTGTTAGAATGAAAAAATATTAAGCTTTAAAATTTATAATTTCCATTTAAAAAATGTCCATATTAAAAATGGACAGACACCCTGATACTGTATGTATGTACATACATAAATATACAATATTCTTTACAGATTGATAGAGCCGGAGCCAAATACGTACGGCTACACAAAATGTCTATCCGAGGAGCTGGTGATGCAGTACAACGGCAGGTTTCCTATCGTCCTTGCCAGACCCTCTATTGGTACGTTTGTATGTCCCACAGCTGGGACAAGCTTTATATCGCGTTGAGAGCTTATGGTCCGCCGTTACGCTCTTTCAGTAGATTCACTGCCTCTAATGAAAATCTCCTTTAATTAAGTGATGAATCTTCAAACTCTAGGTTACTTAGCCTTATCGTGTTCCCAGGGCTCCCTCGAAAGCACCTTGGCGGGCTGTTTGTGTGTTTAACGGTTTTGGTCAGGTATTGTCTTCAAGGAGGTTGTAGTACGATTTACCACACTCTCCACGTCACTATTGCCCAACGAGGGCGTGCATTAGGCATTCACAACATCAGTTTAAAAAAGGTTACTCAGACGAATTCTCGTAGAGAAATTCTAACGTTGCGCCACCCGCGACTCGAATTCATTGACTCCGTTGATCTGCTGTCGAGTTAACCCCTTGACTGACAGTTTGGTTAACTCTACTATCTTACTTATAAGTTACTATGTCTTTGGTCTGGGTGAGGTTCTGCCGATTCTGGAAGAGAGCCGGAAGCGCGGGCTAGTATTAAAGAAAAGCCCCCGGGTAAAAAGAGAAAAAAGTTTAATATAAGTTAGTGAATCAACAAATATTCAAATCTGCCCGCAAAGGAAATGAAATCATAGTACCAGTTAATAAGGTAATTTTTGTTGTTTTACAGTGACAGCTGTACTAAAGGAGCCGATTCCTGGTTGGATCGACAACGTTAATGGTCCCACTGGAATCATGATTCTATCGGGAAAAGGTAATGAGAAATCGATTTCCAATCTTAATATATGTAGCCTGGCATTACTTTAGACAAGGTTTCGGGTTGGAGTCTTGGAAAGAAATAAAGAAGCAGAATAGTATTAAGAAGAAAGGAGCAATAAAGTATTTTGCCAGAGAAGGATATAGAAGTCTGATGTTGATCAGAATTTTCCGTGAAATAGTGTAGTTTTTTAAAATGATCGCGGAAACCTAATTAATACAAGACATGCAAAATCGGCTTAAATAAAATTTAAAAGTATAGGTATGGTATATTATTGGGCTTTTCGTCTTTTGGCTGACTATCTTTCGGTTGTCGGTCTTTCAGTAGTTTTTATATGTATTTCCAGGTGTGCAGCGGACGATGCACGTAAATGTCCTGAACAACGCGGATTTGGTACCTGTCGACATCACAATTAACGCCTGCATTCTTCTCGCATACACCACTGCTTTGACTAAGTACAATCATTAAGTATTGTCTGTAGTTGATTCGTGTAGACATTTAAATAAAACATGTTAACGGTTTAAAATCAGAAATTTCATATTTCAATACCTGATATCTCGCATGCATTACAGTAGCAGCAGTCCTGGAGGGAAGGGGAGATTATTGGGGGATAAAATGCTTCTAAAGGTTGAAGTGTACACGTTATCAAAATAGGTTGCTTGTCGTTTACGTAATTAAGCATGTCCATAGGTTACGGCACTTTTAGTATACGATTAATTTATCTTACAGGCCAAAGGACATTGTTGTGTGTAATCTGACAAGATCGAAATGCAACTCTATCACTTGGGGGAAATGCTTGGAGTACGGTGAGTAAACAAATTTGAAGGACTTAATAAAACGGATAAGGAAAAACCTGTAGTTAGTGCTTGTTCTAAGTATTTCGGGTTCAAAAATAAAAGAAAAAAGCTTCTTGGTTTTTAACGCTGTGTAGCCGTCGTAATTGAGAAATTAAGACGACTTACGCTACGTATGTTAGTTAAAACAATAAATATTAAAAATAAAATAAAATAAAATTTTAAAAATATTTTTTGGCACATGGCGAACTAGGTTGAACACTATGTACATACCTCCGGTCCACCACACCTGGTTGTGCTGCTTTAATTGCAGTATTATTGTGGCCTGTTTGTTTGTAACTATATATACACTGTCTATAGTTTACGCTAGTAGTACACATTTAAATAAAACACTTTAACGGTTTAAAACGGGGAGAGTCTCCGCGTGACCACAGCTGCTGCAAAGCATCCGAAACGTCGGGCCGAAGTTAAAAATCACTTTCAAATATGTTTAACTAATATATCGCGTTTTAAACCGTTAGTGTTTTATTTAATTATATATATGTGTTAGAAATATATGCACACTGGAATATAATTATATTAAGAAACAAAGTATGCACACTGAATTCACATTTTTGTATAACTCTTACGCACTGGCGAAAGTAAATACTATATTTAGAAATATTTTTTACACGCGGACGTGTAAGTTTATACTTCTACTTGGCAGTCACAAAAACATAACAATCAAAAACAACATATAATCGACTCACACGACGGCATCTAAAGACGTCACCGGCGCGCGCTATCTTTATTCGACCGTCTTATCAATAATACAAATCTACCGTTTTATTCCGAACAAGACTTTTAAAGTAAATTATGTCAATAAGTTAAGTCTCGTCTTCTGTATGTGCACGCAGACTTGTCTACCGACTTACCGAAATATCTATCCTAATATTATAAGTATAAAAGGTTTATTTATTTCAAAAACCGCACTTGTACTGCGAAATCGGTCGAAACTTAATATTTAAATAAAATTATTATTATTATTTTCTATTGGGAGCAGCTATAGAAGGCCGGATGATCAGTCCACACCACCAGCTGACTATTTCACCCATTTCCCCATTTCCTTCTCACTGGAGGATTTGGGTTATCCAACTCTCACTACATCCTCTTCAACGGTTCCGACTTACTTGCAGAACCTTATTATTTGTTCCATCTTTAGTTCTTTGATATTGTCTTCTTTGATAATAATCTTTTAAGGTTAATTCCGTGCCCTTGATTAAAACTGAAGAAAAAGTGATGTGTAATTGGACGATCTTTTTGCAGGTCGTCAACTAATACAGGAGTATCCGTTCTCGGTGATGCTGTGGTACCCAGACGGTGAGCCAACTAGCAGTAAGCTGTTGTATCATCTGCAAACGTTCTACAGTCATTTCCTACCTGCCGTAATTGTGGATTTAATTATATGGCTGTTGGGAAAGAAACCTTTGTAAGTACAAGCTACTGTTATTGATGCATTAAGGTCTGATTGATTTCGATTTATTATCTATATATATTGTAAGTAAGCTTCGTGATTTGTTTTGACGGGTTCGTTAGTATAATGTTAGCAACGTATGTCTAATAACGGGCTGTGGGTTCGATCCCCATCGGGTCTTACATGTTTCTAATCGATTTATGTTTGTCTGAAACATGTTGTGACTTCGTCTGGATTTCTGGATATTAAATAGTTGGTAGGACTATCAGATGAATAAGCCGGTTTCAGCATTCCGAATATCCAAACCGAAATAGGCCGACAGCGCATCTTGTTTGCTATATGGCTGGATTATTGCAGCTTACATCAAAAAGTTATAGGCTAGTCATATTTTATGAAGGCAAAACCTAAAATGATACTATCTAGAGCATGTAAAATTAATCCCTCCACAGCCTCATAAAACTGCAACAGAAACTAACGCTCGGCCTAAAAGTGCTGGACCATTACGCAAATCGGCAGTGGTGCTTCAAAAACCATCGCTTCCTGACCTTGAAGGACGAGGTGTCGGCGCGGGATAATGATATTTTCTTCACCGATATAAGTGTGAGTGGATTTTAAGACTTTAAGGTACTACTTCTAAGACAACTTAACAACTAATAAAATAATAACAATATATACTAATATTGTAACGCTTAAGAGTTTGTTTAAACGCGCTATAGAAATCATCACGCTAATTGCCAAGAAACTGTGGGAAATGAGGGAAAATCATATATTTTTCTTATCGCTAACCCTCGTTTCGAGTCATGCTGCGCCATCCTTATGGTTATCGCGCACGGTCCCATGATTTTACGGCGATATAACTCCAACAAATCAATAGCCCATCATACTTATGTGGTCACTGTGAAACAGTGTTATTTGGTTGGTACAGTCTGTCTCCAAACTGTGAATTTCATAGTGTATGCCTTTACAAGGTAACGACTCAACTTTTTTTTTTATTTAAATATTTCAACATTTCTCTTTATATAATAATAAAACATAAAAAACTAAAACAATAGTTTAAAAAAGAAAACACTTCTTTACTTCTTACTAACTATTAACAGTTTTAAATACTGTCTATAGTTTACGCGAGTAGTACACATTTAAATAAATCACTTTAACGGTTTAAAACGCGATATATTAGTTAAACTTATTTGAAAATTATTTTTAACTTCGGCCCGACGCTTCGGATGCTTTGCAGCAACCGGTCTCCCCGTGACTACGGGGATTTTAAATAATGCCTTTAAGATTAAACTGTCTGGTTTACAGCAAATGAATTGGCGAGACTATCTCAAGGATTATATGCTTGGTGCCCGAAGATTTTGCTGCCACGAGGATCCGGACACACTTCCTTTAGCCAGGCGAAGGTTTCGCTGGTGAGTGATATCTGTAACCTTAGTGTCATTTCTCACCAAGAAGCGTCGAGAAAATAAGTGGCGCAGACTTTTAGCAATAAACCTATATACCTATACCATAAAAGTTTTTTTACTACACAAAAAGTTACAGTTCTCTAGTAAAAATTTAAATTTGTTGGTGTCGCTGTAAGCTGAACCTTATTAAGAATGAAATAAGTTGCAATTTTACAATTCATTTTATATAACCTCTTCCAGTCCATCTGCCTCTTTGTTCATTTACACAAGCATATAATAAACATAATTATGTTTATATAGAATCATTCGCTTTGCTTACAGTTTTTTTTCTGTTTCAGGTTTAAAATTGCCCACTACGTACAAAAGATGCTGGTTTATATATTATTGGCTTATTTATGTCTATGTTTGTACAATGTTATATTTAAAATAAACGTTTAATTGATGGTCTTATGGTGGTTTTATTGATGTACAGTCATCGATCCAAGAGTAATATTTTTCTAAAACTTTTTCTTCAACAGTTCTACTTCTTCACAGGTTCTCTATAAGTTATAAATGTGTCGAGGATATTTCAGGATTTTCTAGAAGAAAGATAATATTATATTCATCGTTTAAGGCTTTTGCCGCCATTTTGCTATGTTTCCGACGACAACCATTTTACAGTTATAACAAACACTTCAAACCCAAGAACTTTGATATTTTTTATCTTTTGTTAATGTTGTTCAACGCGAATATTTGAATTTGGTGAGATTCGAACCGTCCCTAGATAATAATCAAATAAATTGTTCTAACATACAAACTTGACTAAGACCAAAAAGATAATCGTGAGGAAAGAGGTTAAATATCTATTTCACAGTGATCTCCTTTAGCTCGTAGACATTTGTCACGCGGAAATGTTAACCTCCAGCTAAAGAACGATAACACAGCAAAAGCAATAAGATGACGATAAAATAGTTATGATAAAAAGTTAAAATTCACAGAGCACACCGAAAATCGAGAAGAAATGCATACTTTGAGTCGACTCAAAGGGTTCGCGAAGTTTTTTCGCATCACGACGAGATCGAAGGCGTTCGTTTCCAGCACAAGTTCCACAAAGTGACGCATTGTCTTTTCGACATGGACGGGACTGTTTTAAGTGAGTAGATCTTCTAAATAAACCACTTTAACGGTTTAAAACGCGATATATTAGTAAAACTTATTTGAAAATGATTTTTAACTTCGGCCCGACATTTCGGATGCTTTACAGCAGTTTGAAAGCCGTGGGCACGGGGGTCTCCCCGTGACCACGGCTTTCAAACCGTTTTCAAATAAGTTTAACTAATATATCGCGTTTTAAACCGGTAAAGTGTTTTATTTAAATGTGTACTACTCGCGTAAACTATAGACAGTATTTGAGTAGATCTTCATTATCTCCGGCACGTAAGCGTCCACTGCTGGACGTAGGCATCTTTCAAAGGAAATCATTTGGTCTTCTCCTGAGTCCTATTCATCTATTCGCTGCCGGCTACTTTCTTCTAGTCACCAGAGCAAATTGAGCATAATAAGTAAAGATTCACGTTTAAAGTGAAGTAAGGGTAACTTTAGGTATGCTTTTCACTTTTGTATACGAGTATTTGTCAACTTCGAATGTGTGTGTGTGTGTTTGATTTCTTGAACTGTTTTCAAAGGAAGTTTTTCTTTGCTCTTATTGGTCACAGCATAATTGTTTTCGATAAATGATCTATCCATAACAAAAAGATTTTTTTAAGTTCCTAAAATTAGTGCGTTCAAATAAACTAACTCTTCGCCTATATATTATTATTATAGAGAAGATCTAATATATATTACTAATATAAAGTAAGTGTGTGAAATGTGAATCATTTCAGATTCAGAAATAATGTACCATAAAATGATCAGGCAGATTTGCGAGAAATATAATAAAAAGTACACTAAAGATTTACAAGTAAAGGTAAGATTATTAACAAGACTTTCAACTTCTTAATTATCAAGTAATCTAGAATTATAAAGTTGGCCTCCATTAAAGAGGTAGGATTCATAAAATGATGATTTTAAAGCTCCGAAAGAGAAATAAATTATAATTATGTAATAGAATAACCATTAGGAATTATAACTGATTTTATATATCGCACTATGCTTGCTACACTTAACGTTTGTATATATATGTTCCAGTTATATGGGGAAACTGACAGACAGATCTGCCTCACTGTGGTGAAGGAGCTGAAACTGTCGATATCTGCTGACGAATTTGAACGGCAGCTGAACGAATTAGCTCAAAGGATGCTACCGGGTGCGCCACTTTTGAAAGGTGTACATTTATTTAGAGTTTAAATAAAACATTTTTAACGGTTTAAAACACTAAATGTATAAGTTAACTAATTTAATTTAACCTGGCACGACGGTTCGGATGCTTCGCGGCAGCCGTGGTCACGGTGGGGCTGAAGATGATGCCCTCCCTATTGTCAAAAGTCTACTGTTTTTTGTTAGTTGGTATGTGGAGAAACTAGCTGAGAGATTATATTATAGCACGTCTGGTTTCGATGTTATGTGGCTGGGATATGTCACCTTCCATCAAGTGAAGGCTTACCAACCAGGCGTACAAACATTGACATGTAGTGCCCGGTAGCTCAATTAGAGCAACAGCACGGAACGCTGTTGACGCCGGATCAAGTCCTGGCCGAGTTCTAAATCTTTTTCAATTTATAATAGATTTTTAATTCATGTATGAACATGTTGGGGTATTGGACTGAAATAGCAAATATTCTTCTTAACGTAATTGCTACTAGAAGTAATGAAAATAATTATTAAAACTTACTTTCCATATTTTTTCTTATATCGTGTATTAATGTCGAATTGGATTATATCTGGTAGCATTTGTGTGTGTAAATAAATTAACTTGAACTTATAGAGTTAGATACAGTTTGCCTGCAAGTTCGTCTTCAATCAAATTTACACTTAGAAAAGTCTATTTCGATTAAGTGAGTAATCTATGTTAAAAGGTGCTGAAAGACTTCTAACGCATCTCTACGATCACAAAATCCCCATGGCCCTCGCAACCAACGCAACAGAACAAGCTGTCCGGCTGCAAGCCACAGCTAGACCTAAACTGTTCGGCCTCTTTCACCACAAGGTAAAGTTAGCTGGCGAATGAAGACTATATTTCACTCTTATGCTTCATCCAGCCACATTATGCAATTCTGAACGTACTTAAGAGCAAGCTAAAGCGAGTAATAGGTACGTATTAAATAAAATATTTCTAACGGTTTAAAACGCGAAATGTATTGCTTAATTGATTTTTTACTTACGATCACATGTTTCAGATACTTTAAAGCTGCGTTTTAAACCGTTAAGTGTCGATTAATTATTTATTCTTCTATTAATATTGGAATATCTGTTGTCTATTCTTTTATTATCACATCGACATTTTCTTAAGCCTAGGCGTGTTCACAATATGAATAACTCAAATAAGTAGCAATTTTCATGAGTGGAGATTATTAAGTGAGAATTTAAATACTTCCAACGGTTTCAAACAAGAAATATACAAGTAAATTTTTTTAACCGACGTTTTGAGTACTATACAGCACCGATGGGGGTAGATCTTATGTAAATAACTCAAACGTGTACTATCTGTGATCAGGTAAGCGTAACAGACCCTGAAGTGTACCGAGGTAAGCCCCACCCGGACATATATTTGGTCGCTGCAGCACGATTCCCGGACAAGCCCAAACCGAAACAGTGTCTCGTGTTTGAGGATTCCGCCATCGGAGTAGAAGCGGCGAAGGAAGCTGGAATGCAGGTGAGCTGGAATTTTAAGTGTTCTGGACGATGAAAAAGTTCTTCGGACGTTTTACTTATTTATTGTAAAAATAATAATTTGCCAAACATTTACCACAAGACATATACTAGCAAAGTCCTTAAGAATTTGAAAGTAATAAATGGCATGTTATATATATATATATATTACTAAACTATATATAATATATACGTTAAAGGTATATATTATATATAAACGTTTAACGGATATTGTTGCAGATTCTTAAACTGATCACAAATACCTTTAGCTCAAAAAATAAAATCAACTGCTCAAGAAAATGTCGACTATTGATCAAATATTGTCTCGGCTAGCACATTTTTATGTCTGTTTCATTCATCGGTTTTATTTAGGACCGACCGAAGCAACCCGTTGTTTCCCCGGGATTCGAATCCAGGACCTCGGGTTCAACGCTATGATAGGCAACACGGTTAACCGTTAACAGAGTCGGTTGTACATAATGGCATTATATAAATTGAAAGGGCTTACAGGTCGTGATGATACCAGATTCTCGTCTTGACCGCGAGCAGACCCGTCGTGCTACTCTAGTCCTGAAGACCCTGATGGACTTTAAGCCAGAAAAGTTTGGTTTACCACCCTTCGAGAGCGGCCGACGAATTAGTCGCGTCGAGAATAACGACAAGAAACTATAATCGCTTTTGTCTTCAATGATTCCGTGGTTGTTAAAATGTATGTAAAATAAACCTTTCATTACTCAAGATAGGTTTTTTTAAATTATATTTGAAGCTGATAGAGGCAGAGTGGCCTAAGAAAAGCACGAGTTTCAATAAGGAACATAAACATGAGCAAATAACTTAGGCGAAAATAAATTTAACTATTATTTTCGGTCATTGTGCTCTTGAAGATTAACATTTTTAGAATATGAAAATATAAATAAGTCAAGTCATAAAATTGCACTTAGGCTACTCTGCCTCTAGTGGCCTCATATCATGAAGTAAAACTGTTATTAGTGTTTTTTAATGTGCCATTCGATCTTCTCTTTGTAGGGTTCCGTATCGCTTTGGGAGAAATTGGGACACCATTACATACATCGCTTCAAACTTCGACTTTGCAAAAAATTAACAAATATATTATATACTAGCTGTGCCCGCGATTTCGTCCGCGGGGAATAGTGACTTGGGGTAGAATTTTTAATTATTAGGCTGTTTATTAATTTATGTAAAGGCGCATTTAAGGCAACCTGCTACTTTTCCGCAACACTCTCACCTCACATCACTCCTACTCTAACTCCCACTCCTATTCCCAAAAAGCCAGAGAAGAAAATCTCATTGTTCTAGCTTCAAAAACCACGAATTTCCATAGAAACTTTTATCCCCTTTTTTGGCATTAAACGCCTTTTTGGCTGTCCTTTCGCAGTACACATATTTAGTGTACCAAATTTCATTTAAATCAGTTCAGTAGTTTCGGACAGACAGACAGAGTTACTTTCGCATTTATAATATTAGTATAGATTAAAGATATTTACAAACGTAATGTTAAATGAAATCCAGATTGGGCGGAATCCTTTGTGGGCGAGTTTATCTGGATTGGATTTTACTGACACAAGTGTACAAAGTGATTATGTATCATATTTATGATAGTGGTGGACAAACAAGCATGGGGGGGCCACTTGACGGTGAAATACACCTGCTATATCAACAAGATGCGTCGTCGGCCCATTTTGGCTTTTTGGAATTGTATGTATCAAATAAAAATAAAATATTTTCTCGTTTTTCGTTTATTAGAACCAAAACCCAGTGTTAAAAATCACAATATTAAACATATAAGGTACACATAATTATCGTATATATTAAATTTATTACTATATTATTGTATTTACATATTTTTACAGGCTATAGATATACCTATTGAAAACAACCTTACAGACCGAGTATTAGCAGTGTTTGAATTTGCTCACTTGATTTTAGGGATATGCGATGTCGACCTTTTCTTGAATTTGGAAATCTAGACTGAAACCGAAATCAATATTTCACAAATTCGTTTAAAAGTAAATGTTTTGTCGAAAGATTGTTTAGACAAAAAGTACAAAACGACAACAGCCAAGCTTCAAACCCTGGTTGGCGGTTCGCTAAATGCAATAATAAATATATTGAATGCTATACAAATTTACATAAATTAAAACTAAACATGAGGTGAGCAATTCTATATCTAGGCAAGAAAAGCCTCGAAGCACCATATTGTATGTTACCCTACTATGTACTACAGACTACAATATTCAACGAAATGTAATAGAAGAGGCCGGTACTTGATTGGCGCAATAGTATAATTTAAATAAAACGGTTTAAAACACGATATATATTAGCGATAGATAGTATATATCGCGTTTTACTTAAATGTGTACTCTACCGACACACATTGTCGGTAGTTTACACTACTCGTGTAAGTGAAAGTAGAAGTTAACGCCCACCTTGTGTCCTTGTACTTTGTATAGGTTTGTAGGAAAGAGACAACACTACTGTCTCGTTTCAAGACGCCATATTTTGTATTTTACTTAAACACTGTATTAGACCTCGTTCGTTTTTTTACCCTACTTGGGTTTCCAAGACGGCTCTGCTGATGGAATTAAGTAAGGGTTTTCCACGTTATGCTATCACCACGGTAGCATCATCAGGCGATGACGATTAAATACTGTCTGTAGTTTCCGCGAGCAGTATACAATTAAATTAAACACTAACGATTTTAAACGCGATATATATTAGTTAAACTTATTCGGACATTAATTTAACTACGGCCTGACGTTTCGACTGCTGCAAATACGCGTTTTAAACCGTTAAAGTGTTTTATTTAAAAGATGGTGACTACCGAGCGACGACTGGTGATGTTCTTTCACCCGTGGCGGGGAAGCATGGAGAACCATTTCTCAACGACGCCCGTTTCAGCTTTATTTTCGCACTGAAGATTATAACGCCTAAGTATGTGATGCATGATAAAATATCAATATCTTACTTCTATAATTTTAAAACTAAATTACAATATACACGTTTCTATAGATAGGGAAGTTTTACACTAGTTTTTTGTGCGATCCTTAGACGTTGCTAGAATCGTGAGGCACTTAGCATCCTCGAATATATAATAAAATTCAGGACCTCTTCGAGTTAGTCATGTTCAACCGAATATATAATTTATTTCCTTTAATTAGAACTTGAGAAAAATCTTTGTTCCGGATGCTTTTGTATCTTTTTAAACGAAGCGATATTAAAATTAAATATTTTCTTGTGGACTAATTCTTAATTCAGCCTTCTTATTTCATTACAATAATTCCAATTCTGTACGAATTTACATATAATATAATTGAAAGAGTCTACAATACAGCAACCTTATGTAAACAAAGTAATAACTATTGCACAATCCAGTATATATTTTATGTTACACGATCGCTATATAAAAATAATACAACCTTTTGCATATCGATTCTATATAACAGAAAACCTTACATAGAAGACAGGTTATGTTTGTGAAGAATATGAGATAACAATGAATACATTTAAGATTAAAGAACTGAGTACATCATGGACTATTATGATTTCCAATATATTTGAGGTTAATTTGTTTGTCATTTTCCTGCTGATAACTAATGGAGAACCGGAAAGTTAATTAGTACCACTATCAGCACCACAGGCGTGTCATTGCGAGCCACGCCAAAGAAACTAACACTGATACCAAAATCCCCCCCTTTTGTCTTTACCACATAAATGGCGTGCCGTATGGTATGGTATCAGCATGAATTGTGTATATAAAATAAATATTAAATAATGAGCCCTAATAAATACCCTATTAAGGATTATAATTTGTTTTTAAACATAACGATCGTGTAACATTATTCGCTAATAAAGAAATTGACAAACTTCTTATACCTTCGTCAGGTATCTGAACTCGATTTCTTTAACTTTTTACCCTTAGCACGATTTAGTGCAACATTTTTCACGCAACCATTTCTATTTTTTACTTGTATAAGATTATCTTTTTTTCTGTCTTCAGACATTTCTTTACTACCATTATCAACGCTCGCTTTATCTTCTTCATCCCCACTGAATGTTAGATCTTTCTTTTCTTTTATTTTTAATTTATTTAACGATTTTTCAACTTTATCAACTTGTTCTGTTATATCTTCAACTACATTATTACAATCTACTTGAATGTCTTCAGTTTTGTCTTCAGATTGAATTTCCTTCAAACTTGCTTTATTTATCTTAGGTGATTCTTCTTCTTTGTTAAGCCTATTCTTTTCTCCGTCGATTTCTTTTTGTTTTTCTTCGAGAGCTTTTTTCTCGGCTGCTTCCTTTCGCTTCTGCGCATTCCACCAGGGCATAAAACGTTGGAACATCACACGGGATCTGTGTTGAGGTTTTAGCACCCATGATATTGCCATTTCGACGTCCGCTATCCTATAAATGTTTTGTTTTTTAGTTGTTTTATCACATAACATTAGGTCATGGTTCAAGGCAGTTAAGAATTTCAGAAGTTTTCTATTTTATATGCGAGCTATAGATCAATTTAGATATTGTGTAAACTATTATATAAACATAGTCCCTTCAGTAAGATATCCCGCACAGACTGTCTTTGGACACGAGGACATCGCAACTATAAATAACGAAAATAAATTAGCTGACTGACCTCCGTCTAAACCGTTCTCTGTCCAGTGCGTGTCGTTCCCAATGTCCAGCCCGCGCTTGTCGCGCCGCGAAGGCCCACACTCGCATCACGTGGACCTTCGGTGGATCGGTGGAGAAATGGACCTGAAATGGATATTATCATATTTAAAACGTTGACGTAATAGCTCTAATTCTTGTCTCTAGCTCTATATACCCCTGATAAGGATAAAGGTCATGGACTACTAATATGGATTATTTATATCTAAGCATTGTCTTTAGGTTACGCGAGTAGTACACATTTTAATAAAAAACTTTTATAGGTTTAAAGGTGAAAAATGTATTAGTTAACTTATTTAAAATTTATTTTAACTATAGCCGAAGTTTCATATGCTTTGCATTAACTGTGGTCATGCGAGAGCAGAAGGTGGAGCGATCGGCAATGTATTTTTTTCGTAAATTTGCGTTTTAAACCGTCACAAGTGTAAAAAATCATATATACAATTAAGCTCTAAATCTTCGAATTTACTAGAAGTAAATATTGTTATCGCCAAAATCGCGAACGGTCCACATCGATAACGCGACAACTATTATTTTGGCTTTTGATGTTTGACATAAAAGGCAGAGCCATAAAATTTTAGCTTTATTGTTATTAATTAAGGGTACATATTTGATATGATTGTCTGTATTGGTCAAAAACGATTTAGTTTAGTTTTATGACCGACTGGCTGCGTCCACGACTTCGCCAGCGTGGAATATTTATTTTGGGCATAATTTATATGCAATCAATTTCCTTAGCTTCTATAACGCCACGACGCCGTTCTCGTCCCGTCGTTTTCTGGAGTGAATCTTAAAAGATAGACATATCGAGTACATTTACTTAGATCGTTTAAAGATGAATCATTCTATCATACATATTTTTGACACCGTTTCCACAGCGTGCGCATCAGAAGCCCACAAAGATCTTTAAGAAATATTCTTAAGTCCTATTAATCGTGGCCTGATGTTTTATAGCCTATACTCGAAGAATTATAATATTAGTATAGATTAAGAAGTATATAATGTGATAATAGACTATTTCAAAAAAAAAAGCGTAGGATTCACAACTCTACTAAGATTTACAGTATAACACCGATCCACTATGTCCAGCATTAAAATAAGTAATAATTCCAAACCATAATTTCACTAAATTAGTAATTATTTGGCAACAAAAATCGGACAGTGATCAGGCTTTCGTAGGAAAATCATGAATCAGATAAGTGTTGAAAAACCCTAATCATCCGAACCCACTACGCGTCGTGTGACGTCACGGTGAGTCACGATGACGTAGCGGCACCGATTCACACAATGACCTTACGGTTATTTCTAGGCCTGAGGGGCGTTGTATGCAGATTGTTTTGCCCCTTTTTGGGCTAAGTAAAGATATGGGTTGACCAAACATATACATTTAGTGATTATTTACAACTATGGTTTTTGTATATCTTAAGCTGGGCACAGACCAAATCGAGCATTCGTACAGTCAGTAGTTAATTTTGCGGTAATATTTTTTTATTTCAATTTATTTATTAGAATATAAAACTTTGAACAGTCTAAAATGCGACATATATCAGGTAAATATAAATACGTTCACGAATACCTTACGAGTTTTAAACTGTTAATTTGAAATGTGATCCACTTGCGTGCATTACAGGCAACAGTTAATACGCCGTAACTAGCTAAGCTGGCACTTGGTTTTAACTATGTAAGACGGAAAGTAACCAAATTTCCTACAATATTATGTCACAACTCAAAACATATCTCTACATGAAAATGTAGTAGTTCTTTAGGCGTTGTGTATATTCATAATTTTGTCACAAAACACAAAATCAGACGACATTCTGAACTAGTAGTTACGAAGGTTTAGTTTTACAAGATCTGTTTTGAATTTGAATCAAAGATTCTGCTTATGTAACAAATTAATCAGATGTGTAGCAGGTGTATAGATTAATTCTGGAACACCTGACATTTCATTCATAAAACAAACGTGTACCAACATAATCGACCTTTTATCTCTGTACATGGAAAACTCGCAGAGCAGCAGCGCGGAATGCTATGGGTTCAAGTCCCCGTATCATATATATTTAAATAAAACACTTTAACGGTTAAAAACGTGATATTATATATTAGTTAAATTTGTGAAAATTATTTAAGAGGCCCCACATTTCGGATACTTTACAGCAGCCGCGGTCACGAGAATATATTGGTAGTCGTCGTCAATATCATTCAACATTTAAGTCAAACCACACATACATATAAATGTAGACATGAATTTAAGAAATGTTCATACATTGTTTCACGCATAGGTAAACCCTGTGGGAGGTCTGTTCCCAGCAGTGGGAATGACTATCGTTTACTTACATTCATCGTCGGGAAGCGAGCGAGAATAGAAGTCTTTGAAACACTTTCTAGATAAGACAGATGTAATGTTAATTAGGAATGGCTCGCGTTTGGATCGGCGTAAATGCATAATGGCAAAATTGATGGCTGGCCTCGTGCCAAAATCGCTATTAACGTGCGCGCGTCCCAATAAATATGGCCCCTGCCCCGTGCCGGGCACTGGGGCACATGTTGTTAGTATAGCTTACAGACAGATAAGTATGGGTGTTCACTCGATGGCACGTGATTACAACAGCCATATACCATCTCAACAAGATGCGCTGTTGTCCTATTTGGGGATTAGAATTCGAAACGTCATAAACGTTCACGGCCTTTACATCTGTGGACATGTTGGTCTCGGGAAAGAAGCCACGCCCCGTTGATTATCAGCAATACACACCATAGGATCAACGATTTGAACAATGAACAAGGTAAACTAACCCGCAGTCTCAGATTCCATTTTGATAAATAATAGTAGTCAATGATTAATGTTGCTAATTTGTTTTCTATAAATATAGGTCCGGGGTATTAAAAGAAGATAGGATATCGGATGGTGTAAGACTAAAGTAATGTAGATCTTTAAAAAATAACTCAAAAACGACCTTTACTTTATTTAGTATTGGTATGAGTGAATACAAGAGAGCGAGAGATCATTTCAACACACAGATAACATATATGACCGCGGTTTCTATGACGAAACAAATATAAAGCTTGTATGTGGCTTATCGCGTATTTCCAATTTTATTGCATATTGAGAAACGAATTTTAATTAATTCTTTAGCGGGAAAAACAATTTCCCCCATCACATTTACAAGTAAAAACTAATTCATTTTACATACTGTGTTTCTAACTAACGAGTTATTAATCCAAAACATAGTGCCTTACTTAGAATTACTCTACACATTATATGACATGGGTATGCAACAGGTTTCAAATGTTACGAAACGAGTTTTAAAACAAATCTAAAAAATGGGCGGCGGTTATATATAATATTAATAGTTGCTGAGCAACAATAACACAATGACAAGAAATAATATACAAATTATATATTAAATAAAAACCAGCCTGTTAAGAGTAGCAACACGAAACGCTGAAGAGCTGTTCAAATCCTGCCAGAGTCACATTTTTTTTCAATTTTATTTTATTTATTTATTTATTTATACTTTTTACACAACACACGCACACAATTACAATGAACTAAAAATAATAATAATATCTATAAAGTATGGAGTGTAACGGGCGGCCTTATCGCTATTAAGCGATCTCTTCCAGGCGACCCTTCTTAGGAAAATAATGTAAAACAACTTAATTAGGGGAACGTGCAGGAAGTGCGAAACTTCCTGCACGTGTTGTTTTTTTAAATACTTAAATAGAAATTATTATCTTTTTTTTCGGAATTGAATTCGTTTGGCAGCTCTCGTATTGTTTTCACGACTATCTCAAGTAAATTAGAGCTGATAGCCTAGGGTCTGGTGTCTGGGGTGATTCCGCACCTACTTCCAAATATTTAGTCCGTCCCAGGTTTCGAACCCGGAGACTCGTGATATATAATCACTAATCAGTAGAAAAACGAAGTTGTAAAGACTTCGTCCGCGTACATAAGTTATAATATAAGTTAAAAGGTGCTAACTAAACCGAAGATTTCGTTTATATTTACTAACATCTACGAGTATACTAATATTATAAAGATGGAGAGATTGTTTCTTTGTTTGGACACGCTAATATTAGGAATTACAGGTCCGAATTGATATTGTTTTAATTAATGTTACATGCTCTAACATGCGTGGACAGCGAAAGGAGTGCAATATACCCAACAAATATGTAGAAAATAATTAATAATTTAAAAAATGTCTGCGATAGTATATTTAGGATTAACTCGCAAGTACGACGGGACGCGACGTCGTGGGTATTGGCTAGAATTTTTAAAGCTGAGGAGGAAATAAACAACATGCCCAAAATACTATTCCGTGCGAACTAAGCCGCGGGCGCAATTCATCTATATATGAACTGCTACCTAAAACAAAGGTTTCGTCGGTATTGACTAACATTACATTATAAAAGGGATCTACAGTCTTTAATGCCACGTCATCCCTTGAATCAGTAAGTTTGTTTACACAACAATTTCCCATTATTTCAAATACAACAGCTGATTGTTTCAAGGAGAGCTGTGCTAGTCATCACAAGAAGTTTTATTCGAGGTTATCTCAACTATAGAATATATATTCAACATTGAATTGATAAGTAAATATAAAGGATTATTACTAAACTTTGCTAGGTGCACTTGTTCGTGGCTATATATCAAGGACCTCGATAGGAAAATATCATTTTGCCATTTTTTCACGACATTTATAAAGATATAATTGCAATTGATACTTAAGATATTTCTACACTTCAATAATATTCACACATTATTATGTGCTACTCCCACGATAGCTGAATTGGTTCGAGCGGCAGCACCGAACGCTATGTCATAATATTTATATAAACTTAATAGATTTTTAACTTCCTTACAATATTTAGAAAATACTCAGTAGTGTTCTTACAATACTACTGAGTATACAAAATGGGAGACCATTTTGTATTTCTCATCTGGATTCATAAATCCATCTGCACCTTGATTATTTCAAGGTACAAAATTGCAAGCAGCACAGCAGTACAAATTCAAATCACGTTAGGTCACCAGTGTTGCAATGGTTAAGTACATTTAGGAAGAAATTAATACAGGGTTGAGCCAACCTTTTGATAAGAATTTTTACATGGTGGGCCCGTATTATGTATATATGTGTTGTATTTAATAAGTTTCAAACAAGAAAAGGGCTTTAAAAATATAAAGTATTACATTTAAAGGTCATTTTAATATATTTGCAAATTGACATTTTATTTATTAAGTATTTATTACAATTCAATATGGGCTTGCATCAAGTGTTTTATACTCCAACCAATTAAAAATTAAAATCTACATGTCTACAAATATCAATGATCAGTTTTATCTGATAAAACATATAACATTGGCGAAATTCAATCCTTATCAATGTGAATGATAACAACACCTTTCAAATGGCGATAATTTATCACTCTGAATTGATAAGGGGTTATTACTTTCAATATTATCTACTTGTTGGCACCAAATCGTTGGCCTACAAAGCTACTAGCCCGCAGGTTTGCATCAGCATAAGATTATATGCATATTTAGTAGGTCCATAAAGCGGAAATACATACTTTATTTAATAACTTTTATCGCAAGCATTTTAAATAGTTATTAAAACGAGAGACATACTTCTGTCCTCGCCCTCACCTTCTACAAGAAATGAAGAAGAGAAATTGATGCTTAATAAATTGTGTAAGGCTCGTTCAGCATATCATGGTTCTTCGAGAAGAGGTTCTCGCTCGTCGGCCGAACAGCCCGAAATTGATGCGATATGCAGAACTTAATGCGTTTAGGAATTAGTACTAGACTAGTATTTCTAGACATAAAATGCAAAAAAAATATGATCAATATTGACTTAGTACTGATTTTACGTAACATTAGAACGTACATTGATAACAAGTTATGCAAGGTCACACGACAGTACACTGCTTAGAATTTTAACGTCCTTGAAACCTTGACTCACTAAGGACACGACGACACGTGTTAATAGGGCTAATATTATAAATTAGTGTTTGTCTGTCTTTTGTAGCGATAATAATCTTAATCAATATAAAGGACTATATTGTTATCTTTTGTTGCAGACAATATTATGTGTTTTCATCACAGACTCTTATTTGTTCGCTTTAATTTGATTTGATGGCAAATTTCTGTGTCTATTTTACCAATTGCATTTCAATCATGAGAATTATTTTTCCCTGGAATTCAAACTGATCCTTTTAGATTTATTAATATTTAATATATTTCCCCGAATTGCCTATATTTCTCACTGTTTTTTCTGACCGAACGCTCTAAGCCTGACTTTTAACAGCCTAAACTCTAAAGCCTTACTCAATAAATAACCAACACAGAAATATTTTTTTAATTCAAACCAATAGTTCCAGATTAGCATGTTTGATCGAACAATCTCTTCAGCTTTATAATATTAGTATAGATGTATTTAAATGTCTATGGATTGTTTACAACCAAGCCAATTAGTAGGACCACAATAACATTCTTTTAATGTATAATACAATCAGCCATTGTCTAACAATATAAAGTGACGCATATTCTTAAGACTTTTATGTCTTCAGCTATTTTTACTTGTAGAGATCTCATCAATCTATAGTAACAAGTAATTATATACTTATACTATAATTTATTTATCTTGTTTCGTTTGTAGACACCCAAGGACGAATTAGTCGGTAGATTGGAGTGTTGATAGGGTAAAAATATTTAAAATTGACATTTAAAATCTATCACTTGAAGTGAAGGGTGCTCAAAGCTTCTCCAAGGTCAATAATCTTGAAATATCTAGATTTAAGCTTTAGTGCAGATATAAATTGTTTCATAACTTGCCCTTGTACTATTAACAGAGAGTAAACAATGCTACACCAAAGTTTTTTTCCTACAGTACTATAACTTATCAGCTCTACCACAGTATTATGCAATAATAATAAACATTTATGAAACGAACGGTAGAACATTACATATGTATACAACTAATAAATGGTATTCTTAGATTTTCCTCATGTAGTAACAAAAATATGTTTTATCTAGAAAAGTCCTTGCTTTGTTTGGTCACTATCACCAATAGATAATAATAAATATGGCTGACACTTTGTCGTCATACAGGGTTAATATCTTTCAAACTGAAAACAACTTATATTTTACTGAGGTGGCAGGATATAAAGATGGTATATGTCAAAAGGCTGAATGGGAGGCTAAAACCTCCTATAAGTTGCTAACATAAAAAACAAGGCATTATTCAAATGCAATTTTTACAACACAGACATACTTTCCTACTTGTAATAACTTTTTACACAAAGATATACAATATGTGACTTACCCTCTTTGCTGGCTTCAGTTTTTTCTCCTTCTTTTTCTTCTCATCCAGCAACAATCCAGAACTGGTCTCTTCCTGAGTGTCCGTTTCTTCTGTGTCTATACCGGTGTCACCTGAATCTGCAGTCTCTCTTGCAAAATCCACAACATCTTGACTATACAAGCTATCATCAGTTAGATCGCCAATAGTCCTCGATAGTGAGTGATTCAGACATGTCATGTAATATCCTGAATCACACTCATCATCAGAATCGTAACCAAAAACTTCATTTGTTGTGTAACATTCAGGAGTTTCTTCAAACACAATAAAAGAGTCCTCTGATTCACAATCTGAGGGTATCCTCTTTCTATCAGTAAAAACTATTTGAAAGGAGTCATCGCTGTCTGTGGATGATGAATAGAATCTACCTCTGACTTCATCAAAGCTGTGTTCAACTGTCTCGGAATCATTAGAATTGATTTCATGAGCAAATGACTCAGGTATGATTTCTTTTATTTCAATAGGTGCACTCCCTTCTTTGCTTGGTTTGGTATTCCTACGTTTAGATTGTAAAAGCTCTTTGATTTTGTTAATTTTATCCTCACATGATGTCACAACTTCATGCTTTTTCTCATTAGTTGAGTCTGTTTGACATGTCTTAGTTTCATTCTCACTAACACTAGGTAAATTCTTTACAATATCCATAGATTCTTTAAGTTCAGTCTTAACAATAGGTGCATCTGCTTCAAATAATTTAGGTTCCTCATGCTTGCATGCACCATAGAAATTAATAAGTGTATCGTTGGCTGTTCTAACTATGTTTTCTGGACAAAATGCATCCTCAAATGATTCATCAACTGAAGCATGCTCATGAATGGTTTTGGGTGCCTTAGTATAGTAAGGTAAGCTACCATTTAAGAACACATGTACTTCATTAGGTTTATTGTCACATCTAGTGACTACAGACTTAGTGTCCATGTTATTGGGCTCAGGAGAATTTTTATTTTGAACCTCAAACTTGGCAGGCAGCCAAGCTAGAGACGGTGACATCTGGCCGTCGTCTAAAGTGTCAAAACAATCGTAGTATTGAGATGTGGGCGAGGGCGACCGTTTTTGGAAAATCGCGGACATAACGTTGAATACTCCTGAAATAAAATTTGAAATGCCGCCCAGGGTCCCGGTCTCGGGCCGCGGCGCGGGTTTCTCGAACTTATCGGGCTCCTTTCTTTGTTCCATTGTTCCTGTTATAACTGAATCGGCTAAGTTTTTCTTTAAAGGATCCGGTATTAGGTGCAGATTGTGTATATTGTTTAACAGCAATGTATCCCCTAACGCGTTCTGCATTGCACTCTTGGTTTGGGTATCAGTTGAGTAATTAGTAATGGAAAAATTTACGGGCGAAAACATTTTTGAATCGACACTGCGATTACGCGTGCTGCAAACGTGAATATTATTCATTTTTTATCACTTATGAAGATTTTATTGTCTATAGAGGATGCTAAGCCATTTTACTCTTACACGGGCATGTCGATGTTATTGCACAAACACTGGGAGTCTGAAAAGGGCTTGTGAATAAGTCTATAACACTTCAAACCTATAATGGACACTTCCTGGGCCTCACAAGGTCCCGAGTCGTAAGTCTTGACTGTCTTTGAACTATATGCTGTTTCACCACAAGAAATGCTTCTAATAACGTCTGGACAACTTGAAAATTCGTTTCTTTGAGAAAAACACTCGCTTTTTAGCTCCATTTTGATAAAAATATCGAAACACGTCTTTACAGTTCAGCCATTTTGATAAAAATATTATGTTACTTGTGCACTTTTTGACAGATAAAAAATAGAGTACACGTTTCAGTGTTGCCGTTAGCAAATATGAGAGCACAGAGTTTAGAAAGATATTGTTTAAAACACGTTATATTACGTCAAATAAGCGAGATCAAATAACATTTGTTAAAAAAATATTGTTTTTGACTGCATCCATTTTTGAAATATATTATATTGTTATTATCACCGTTGTCATTAGGGGTTGATGTAACAGCTCATATACAAAATGTTTACACTATATAGCTAGTTTCCATTTAGCCAATTTTAAGTCTGTGGAAAAGATACTCGATTGTTTTAAAGATATAATCGTTATAGTTTTTTAACTGTTTAGAATACTAAAAATGCTAGTTAATTGATATTTTTAATTTTTATACCCACAACTTACCACGTATGCTCCAGACTTACTGTCAAGCGTATGTAATGTTCTTTTACGTTTTACACCGTTTTAAGTTAAGTTAGTTTTAAAAATATCTCGTGTTGGAATTATTATTCTGTAAAGATGTGTGATTGGTTTTTAATAAAAAGTGATTTGTTTAAGTATTTGCTTGTGAACAATCCTGATAGTTTATATACGAACTACTTATGAAAAAAAACAAACTAATTTCTTTTTGGCATGAATTTGAATTTAATGTCATGATTTGTATTCATAGTTTAGTACAGTTTGAAATATGCGTGATTTAATGTGGACGTTTTGATACAAATAATTATAAAAAGTACCAAAAAAATTGCAAAATAAAAAGGTATATTTTCATAATGTTTATTATTGGCATATTATCACACTACGTATTGTTACTCAGACTTTCACTAGATTTGAAAATATGGACCATAGGACTGACAAAATATTAATAACTAGCTATGTCAGCGACTTCGTCCACGTAGAATATAATATATATGTATTTTCGCTTTGCTTTCTGCTCCTCTTTTCGCTCGCTGTATTTTCGCTTGTATTGTCGCCTTACTCGATAAATGTTCTAACCAACATAAAAGTATATTTTTTTTTAAATTCGTGAATTGATTTTTTAATTCCTGAGATAAGCGCGTTTAAACAAACAAACAAACTAGTTTTTCAGCTATATATATCAGTATTATATTTACATAAAATATCTTATTTTCAGAATAAACTAATGAATGAATAAAACAAAGGCATTGAACATACTGATTCAATCTACGGAGAAAAATGGCCGATAAGAAAAAGTAAGATTATCATTTACATAATATAGTTTCCGTGTAAACGGATTTCGGTAAACGGTCGCGTAGTTGCTTTATAGGCGTATATAGGTAAACAGTTTTCATGGGCCTATTATTTTACTGAAATGTATTTATTTTATTTATAAAACACACCACAGAAAATACATATTAATGAGGAAAATTCATACGTACTAACTTATAAATAAAATATACTTAAATTGGTTCAGTAGTTTTTTTAGGGACGCCATAACACTTTTAATCGAGGAGATTTTAAAACAAACTTTCGTTTTCACGTAAGACAATGACATATGCAGCTAGCAGCCTGCTACAAGCAGAGTGGTCTAATAACAAAAACATATTTTTTTATAAGTAGGAAAAAATGCGCAATTAACTTGATAGCAAAAATGAATTTGTACTATTATACATTTTTAGACTATGAAAATATAAATAAGTCAAGTCATAAAATTGCAGTTAGGCTACTCTGCCTCTAGCGGCCTCATTTATGGTCAAGTCGAATCAGTTGACATGGAAGAATCCAATAGCAAATATGAACAAGGACGATAAGTTCACGTTAAGTTTTTATGTTGTTGCAGATTGCAGGCAGGGGGAGATGCACCTGATAAAAAACAAAAGGGTAAAGGTAAGGAAGAACCAGAGGAACCGGAAGAGGTACCGAAGACTCCCTCACAAATCGCCCGAGAGTTAGTATTTTGGAACTATCATAAATATATATATTCTTATACTTGCTTAAGTTAATATGAACTTTATATTTTCAAAGTAATCTTTATTCTACATTAAAGTATTTAAAGTCTTTTAAATTAAACACTAACGGTTTAAAACGCGATATATATTACTTAAACGCACTTAAAATTTATTTTAACAACGGCCGACGTTCCGGACGCTTTGCAACAGCAGTGGTCAGGGGGGGACAGTAGTCAAAATAAATTTTAAGTGCGTTTAAGTAATATATATCGCGTTTTAAACCGTGAGTGTTTTATTTAAATGCGTACCATTCGCGTAAACTACACACAGTATTTATTTATAGTAGTTAGTCTCGCTTATACGAGGAACGCGCAAAATCTCATAATATCCACTCGTGCTGGTGAAACGTCGAGAACCATTTCTCAATTGCGTTCGACCAGCTCGAAAAAGCAAACAGCTTAGAAGTCTGGTGGTTTCTACTTTAATGCAATTAAAAGAAACACAATGTGTTTGTACTTAGGGAAGCCGAATATAGAGCCTACTTACGCAAGCAAAGATTCAAACGAAAATGGCCAGAAATCACGAAAGTGAAGATCAAAACACGGACGTGGAGGCCGCCGCCGCCCCCGCAAAAGATGCCCAGAGTGGTAAGGTCATTTTTTTATTTGTAGTGAAATGATGCACAAGACAGTCTTGTTGGTCTTATGGTGGCAATGTATGGCTGATAATCAACGGGTCGTTGGTTCGACATTTTTCTAAATAATTTATAATTTTTCTCTAACATGTTGGATTTCGTCCGGAGCATATAAAAAAGTCGTGAAGTTTAATCGCGTTTCGGTTTCACTCTATGTATTTCCGAATATCCAAAGCCGACATAGGTCGATAGCGCATCTTGTTTAGGTGCTATGGGCTGGTGTATTTCACCTACCTTTAAGGAGCCCCATTCTTATCCCTACTCCACTATCATAACAAGAGACTTGCCCGATACTTGAACTAACACAACGCGCAGTGCACGAGTCAAATGTTTTTCAGATAATTGAGTTACCAGAACTCGAAACTCGGAAATGGATTCCACCTTACCTCAGACGGCGGCGACGAAGACCCAAAAAGTCAAGGATACCCCCGGAAGAGATGACGCAGTCTTTATACGAATGTGCTAAACTGAAAAAGGTGAGATTTTCCACTAACCATTTCTGTGTGAGCTGACACTGATGTGAGCGAAAAGAGGTTCTCGACGTTTCGCCATCATGTGTGGACGGCATCATCAGGAGATGTTAACTCCTCGATTGCTCGAAACGTCGAGAACCTCTTCTCGCTCACATCGGCCGAACAGCCCGAAAGACAATGATATTACTGATAGTAGTTGTTAAGTCCCGCAATTCCTTTTTCGTATTAGAGAGGAGGCCGTGCCGTTGTTTGCTATTGTTTTTCTCCAGTTGTCGAGACTATAACGCTTTTGTCCTTAGCAGCGGTAAGTTTGTAACCTGGATTTCCTACGTTTTAGATTTGGCACAACTTTGGTCAAGTCGAGAAAAACAAGATGATACTTCAGGGCAGCGTTGGCTGCAATTCAAAGAAGTATTCGTCTACGACCTGTGGTTAGTTTTTTTTTATTTTAGTTTTAGTCAACAGCGAAGTGGGTTAGATATTGCATCTATTGTCTAGTTAAGCTGACGTCTTTCTCGCCAATACTTGATTCTCACTTCAACCACCGCACCCGGGCTGTACCCTGTCCCATATAAGAATGGACCTATTCTCAATATCTCCTATTTATCCAGGTTCTCAAACAGCATGCATTGCAGTCGTCTGTCGAGCTTTACTGGAAGAGAAGACACCAGCTGATCTGGTGAGAAGAGATGTGGACGAGGTGGTAGATGGAGGAGATAGATATTACAAGCAGTGTATGCTCGCTATGAAGTGTTATAAGGGTGAGTTATAAAAATTACAGCGTTGACCTTTCACTTAACTTCTTGTTACGGGGTAGGTTTATAAAAAAAAGCGGCTATATTTATAAAAATGTTCAAACATTCTATATAAAATCATTTTTTTCAACTAAGTAATCTTATTTCCTATTAGAAGAATTGACAATAAATCGTCAATTCTTCTAAAAATAAAAACATGTGTAATTGTTAAAATTTTACGAATTTCCTCGATCGATTATAAGCCATCCAAAAGCTAAGAAATATTATTAACTTTCTATATATAAAACGTATATTACAGGCATATTGCCCCAATGGTAGCATTGTATGACTAACAATCGACGAGGCTTGATTCCTACCCGGTTCCATATGAATTCTGTAATAATTTTATCATGTGCCTTAATATTGCAAACTTAATTTTGCCCAGTGAAATCAGTTTGTCGGTAACGAAGCTGAGTGCAATTAAATACGTTAAAGGAGTTGCGGCTAGTTCCTTGCCAATTCTTCTCGTTTGTTCTACTGCCTTAATTAGAGATCGGTTCGTTTTATACTATCTATAGTTTACGTAAATAGTACACATTTAAATGAAACATATTAGCGGTCCCGTGGTCACGGGAACGTTCCACGTGACAAAGCAATAACTAATCTATCGCGTTTTAAACCGTTCGTGTTTTATTTAAACTGTCAGTTTTACCTGGTGTGACGTTCATGAGTGTACCTAATTACCTAAACGAATAAATGATGTTTGTCTTTAAGAAACGCACCCCCTTTTTCGTTTTTCAGGTAAACCTCATCTGCAATTGAACCAACTGTTAACATCGTTCTACTTCCACGATAGCAAGTATACAGTGAAAATGGTGGAAACTGACAGAGGGTTGCTGGCCAAGCATCCGGATAATATTCAGGCGGAAGCTGATTTAATGGCGTAAGATGACTCTTGCGATGCATATCTTTCATCTACCGCTCTCCAATTGGACAATATTATTTAACAAAAGCTTGACCGCCGTTTGTAGTTAATCCCGGGAAATAGATAGTATTTCGGTCAGAGAGGGCACAGAAGTAACTGATCGACTTGTGTGTAAATAAAACCGATCAGAAACAGACACGGAAATATGTTCGCCGCATGCCCAATAGGGTAAATTGGATTTCACTTACACAAAATTCTTCTTTTTTTAATAACTAGCTGTGCCCGCGACCTCATCCTCGTGGATTACTTATTTTGGGCAATAATATTAATTATTTTTGCAAGCCACTTCCTCAGCTGTTACCCACGACGTTTAAAAGATAGACAATACTGTTGCGGACATAACTTTAGAGAATTTAAAGAAGAACCATTCTTTCATGTAAATTTTTTGGTTCCTTTAGCCATTTTCGCAGCGTCTGTGAAGTTTTCAGAACTCTTATGGATTGCGGCCTGGTTTTATAGCCAAAATTCTTATTCGACGAATAATTTATCTTTTAATTTTATGTATATGTAGATAAAAAGCTTTCTTCCTTTTCAGGTTGATGGAGAAACGTATAGGCTCAACGTATATGATGATTTTATCAGCTGGAGACAAGCACTTTTTGATCTGGGGTCATCCACCACCACCAGAAGCTGGGAGTCAAGTGAAGACCGTCTGTTACATTTTTGACCCCCATATGCTGAACAACTTGGGTCAGCCGGATAAACTGTGAGTTTTTGTTTGCCCTTTTTCATATTTTAAATTTTTCAAAGTGCACTTTGACTGTTAAATGACATTATGGAACAGGTTCGGCGCAGGCGCATTCCTAAGATACGCTGGTGTGACGTCGTTTGTGCTGGATTTTCTTGCCAATTATGGAGACCTGGATGCCGCGAAGAAGGGCACCCCTAAGCCTCCGATCACCCTGACTAGCATCGAGGTAATGCCAAGAATTTAGGAAAGATATATAGCTTAGTTTTAAGACTTGGCTACATGTTGCTATGAGGTATAGATATAATATGATTCAGACAGTCAAGTCAAGTCGTGTGTTTTATGCAGGTGGTCCAAAAAGAACCACTAATTCGAGAACCGGATTACGAGTTGGACCTGAAAGCTTTGAAGATCCACTGCAGAAGCGAATGGGACAGCATGAACATCAACGCACTCATCGAGAAGAAGATTAAAGAAGTAAGTCGTTCCACTCATGATCGAGTAGCAGAAACTTTAAAAAAACTAATTTCACCTCATACTTATGTAAAAAAACTGCGAAATGCCATTGTGTATAAGGTAAAATGAAAATGAAACTAGACTCAGTTTGACGAATCTTTTGTGCAATAGTTGGTTTAATCCCTGCCGGGTCCCACTTGTTCTGATCAATTTATAATTTTTCTGAAACGTGTTGAACTGGAAATCTGGATATCACAATATATAATAGTTTTAAAGTAATTGTAACGATTTTCTTTAAATCTAGGTTGTGATATATAATTATAATGCATAGGATGCAAGTAGAGAATAGTTAAATATTTGTCCAGGGGAAGTACCCGCAGTGTTCATTAAGTGCAGTGAGTTTAGCGACATCTAGAGCTACATCAAGGAAGAAGGTGCGTGACTTCTACCAGAAGCAGCCGAAAGAAGTAAGCGTATAAAACATCGTATACTCGTAATAACGTTATAATTTTTTAGATCTTTTTGCCGTATGGTTTAGCTTAAGCCTAAAATCTTCCACTAGTATTGAATTATAGACTTTGCTATACAAGGGTGCATTTATAGTACATATATTATAATGGCTTATATATTTTGTCTCAGCCTCCACCTCAATTACCGATGGCCCCGGAGAAGGCTCCTCCTGGACCAACTATAGACCAGTTGATGCAATTGCGCGGCGAAGACTTTTTCCTCTACTGCCCTAAATCTGATGGCCATTCATTCGGAAGGTAAAATGGTTTCAAAACACTTGACGGGCTCGATGGTGCAATGGTAGCTGGCTTCGGTTCGACCCCAGCCGAGTTCAACATTTTTCTAATCAATTTATAAGAAATAAGCCATAACCATTTGATGGTGATTAAATTTGCATCATTCATTAATTTTTAGAGACGACATGATACCCCGACCGAAGTCAGAGACGGTGTTACACAGCCCAGTTGAGATCGCAGACCAGAATTACCACTCGCAGTACCAACAAATTGACGTGGAAAAGTGGATTCTGCGCGCCACAAGACACATGGCTAGCTACAGGTTAGGTTTAGGTGTTCTTATACATTTTTGTTTGATAAAACACATATTTTTTTACGGGTGAACTTTTATTTGCAGAGCTTTTATCAGCAGTGCGAGGGGGGTGTTTTAATTGAATTCGTTAACCTTATTGAAAATTCGTTAACTAATTGCTTTGCGTTTAAAACCGTTAAATGTTTTATTTAAATTTACTACTTGACAGCTAGAAGTGGTATTTAAACAGGTTTTATTTCACGTATAGTTTTAAGTTGTAATAAGCTTTCAGACAGGTGGTAGTAGCTGTAATTGTATAAATATATGCATAAACATTCGTTTCGTTTTAAGTAAATCTTATGTAGAGTGTATTTTTTCTAACTTGGCATTTTGACATATTAAATATCTTTAGTTTAACATTTAAATAAGGATAGGATATAAATTAGAAAATCCGGTTATGCAGGATTCTTGCAAGGTGTTACAAACGTCGAGTTAAATAATAATGAAATAAAAAAAGTTCATCATAAACGTGATTTTAAATATTGAGTAAAGTATACTGTGTCATCTGTAGCAGCAACTTCACTCTATGAAAGGTCGTTCTTTATAGTTTCAAATCTAGATTGCATACATTTCCTAGTGTACAGTCTTAACAGCTATATGAACTTATACATTACACCAATAATTCACCGTTTCAGATATCAGACGTTCAAAACGTTCACGAGCATAGCTTGCTGCGTGGCTGCACTCGGTATGTTGCATAGATATCGCGCGAGAGCGTGGAACGAAGACGTGCTGGACGAGACTCTGGATGTCGGATGGAATTTCTTTAGGGTAAGTTTCAATCTACTTGCGTGTATATGCATAGTCAATTCTTCTGTGACTGGTCAAAACGGTAAACAGATATGGCTTCCTAATAATAATAATAATAAAACACATTATTGCACAAACATATTTTAAAAACAAGGAATTACTAAACAACTAATATACATAAAAAGGTAATGCAAAGGCAGCCTTATCGCCTATGGCGATTTCTTCGATAAAACTTTTGTCTACAGGAGATAGAATTAAGGAAAAATTAAAGAGCAAAAGTCAACAAAACAGAAGAAAGCATGCAATAACAACAAATATTAAAAGAAACAATAATTTCTCTGTCACTGTCTCTGTCTCTGTCTGTAATGTATGATCTAAACTCATAATTCATAAAATTAGAAACAAGGGTATAAGCCTTCAAGGGTGAAATCAAAAGGCAAGCAAGCAACGACAGATCCAGAGGGGATGGTCGTGGGGTCCCAGAGCTGGTTGCAGGCTTTAGGTGGGCTACTAATTAAACATATTGATTTCATTTACAAATTATTGTGTTAAATTCTATAAGGGTACAATTTATTTAAGTACAGTGCGTTTACGCACTTTAATAACATACCTACTTTTTACTTGTATCTTTTGTTATTGTCAAAATTAAATAAAGAGTTAGAAAAGAATTGACCAGGGCTATGTGATCCTCTCCTGGCGCCAAAACTGGATCCGCCGTTGATATCATGGTATATGTTGATTACAGGAATCCTTACTAGAGAGAAGTGGGCCGATAAGAAGGCTTGTGCTCGGAGAACTGAAGGAAACATTTAGGATACGCGACACTGAGTATAGTCATAAGGTAAGGTGATATAGCAGACTAAATATTTATATTTAATATTTGAATATATTTATTACGCAAAGAACTTCAGGAAAGTGAAGGTTGAAGCTTTAATACTTTATCTATACTAATGTTATAAAAATGAGTTTGTTTGAACGCGCTAATCTAAGGTAGATGCTATTGGTTTGAATAGAAGAAAAAAAATATTGTTTTCGTTGGGCCATTTATCGAGTAAGACTTTATATATGTATATACCATGGCGCTTTCACCAATAGGAGAAATGTATGTTATAATGATCCCTCTTTAAACGATCTAACAAATGCCCGTGGCAGTATATCTTTTAAAGATAAACTTACAAGAACGATGGGATGCGGCCGACGTCGTGGGTAACAGCTAGAATTTATTAAGCTATGTCCAACGAAGTTGCGAGAATAGCTAGTTGATAAATACAATTTCAGGACCGTGGTATAGCTGTGTGGGGAAAGCTAATTTCGGGAGACCCAAAAGTTCTCGATCTATGTAGAGGGCTCGAGAGCTTTTTCAAGGAATGCGATACAGGCATTTTGCAGGTACCAAAGGCATTTAATATGGTGTCGAGTTGTATATATTTTTTTTTCAGAGTAGATATGTGCACGTGGTTGCACTTGATGTACGTAAAATACGTATTTTGGCTTTGGATATTCGGAAATACACAGTGCCTACTCGACACGCAATTAAGATTAGGCTTATTATCTGTGGATAGCCACAGATAATAAGCCGTGACCCAGGTTGGATTTCGATATCCCTATTAACCAACTAATATCCAAATATGGTAAAATGGTATAGTGAAAAATATCCCAGCCAAATAACATTGAAATATGATGTGCTGTCAACTTATTTCGGCTTTGGCCTTCGAAAATCTAGAGAAATTAAAACGTAAGTATACGATATTTGACGTTTTTTTTAATATATTTGGATAGAGCTTTTTATTATTTCGAGAATATCGTACTTTATTTACAGATTCCAGGCGAAATTGAAGTTTCAATCTGGAACGAGGGTGGAAAGTACTACTGCTACCACCCATGGCCTGCTGATCGATATGGATATAAGGTCAACATTAATCAAAATAATATATGTCGGGTTTAAGGGGCGACTATTGGCTATAAGATAATAATATTAATTAGAAAGCTTAATAATTATAATTTTACTCGTTACAATACAAATCACTTAGATTATTGTCATGGTAGCGGCGACGGAACATGACAGACGTGATCGATGCACTTAGACGCAACAGTACTTTGGCAAAGAGTCGCTGTCTCATTTTGTTCCGAACTACCGCCGCTGTCATATACGTCTCATGATTGTCTTAGGACTAATTATGTTAATACAAAATTAATTGTAAAAGATTCTATTATCCAGGTTGGACTGCAAGATGGCGGTAAAGCCTGCCTACTGTACTTCAGTCGAGTGTCTAGACTCTGCGAACATTTTTTGGACAGCGTGGCCGATTTGAAGCGGAAACCCTTCAGCATAGCCGACGTTGTTGTGTCCGAGAGACCAGAAATGCCGGAACCGGTCAATAAGTTGAAACGTAAGATTTTTCTTCTAATTGTCTTTGTATATACTGAAACTTGTTTCACAATAATACAATAGTGTTAATCCAAGTTTCCCACGTCAACTGTTCTATTTAGACTCGGTGATAGTTACGAGACTTCCCCTTATACAATCGCCCAAAAATTTTATAGTTTGTATCAATAGTATTTTTTTTTTGATAGCGCATGACAAGCATGGGGTTCCCTTATTTTGGCTTTGGATATTTGGAAATTCACAGACTGAAATTTTAACGCGATTGAACTTTATGGCTTTTTATCTGTGGACGGTGTTTCGTTGCCCGGGCGGAATTTCTATACCCATTCAAAATTCAGAATTAAGACGAAGTTCAACATGTTTGTTCAACAATATTGGACGCGGTTGCAATGAACCCACGACCAGTTGATTGTTAGCCCTACATTGCTACCATTACACCAACGAGTCCATCAAGTAATCTGCATGAACGTAAATTTCTAAGTCTATCCATAACCAATAAAAGCTTTCATATGAGCTGATGGTGCTTTTCAGCGGTGGCACCAAACAAATGGGTGATCAGAGGAAGGTTCCATGAAGCAGATGCTCGTTTCCCTGAGGAGCATAGAGGGAAGCAGGCCACTCCGGCATCCATTGCAGCTATAGCCATGGCTCACGTTATTGAGCCTCCGGCCTGGACGAGCGATGATGTGGATGAGGTATATATAGACATTTTGCTTCAGTATATAAGCATTAGAAGATCCTTCTATTCAAACTTACATTAATATCTTATACGTTGCTATAAGCAGCAGAGTGCTAGTTTTCCATCATGAGCTTCGGTGTGGGTTTACTGTATGCAACAGTCATATTTGTCCATAAAGAACGTAAGATGTGGAGGAGCAACGGACATGTTCTTTTAAAAAATATACTCTCACAATAGCGAAGCTATAACCCATCACAAGAATTGGCATATACAACGATAGTACTAACATATTTCTTATCTTACCTTTTTTTATTGATAGAAGAGGACAGAAAAGTTCGGGGTGCATTGATTGTAGGTAGCCTTTAGCATCTGAACAAGATGCGCTGTCTAACAGTCCTCAATTACAGACGGTCATCCGCGGTGACATACTCTATCAAAGCACAATGGAATATCTAGAGAAAATGGGTGTCAGCCTCGAAACACCGAAAGTTGATGAAGAAGCCGGAGAAGAGGAGGAGACGGGTCCCACTGGCACCCTCGCTGCCGTTGACGTTATGAACAGGTTCAAGATATCGGAGTATGATTGCATTGAGACCGAAGTTCTGGACAGCGCCTACAGCGGTTAGTGAATCATTGTGTATGTGATGCATTTTTAAATCTCTAACAAAGCACTTTAGTGCTTTGTTAGAGATTTAAAAATAGAGTTTTTCGTTTTTCGTCTTTTAAGACGAAAAACGAAAAAAAGGAATATTAATATGGCTTTGCTTATCAATTGTCAAACATTTCTATAGGTGAACTTAGTCCTCAACCGGATTCGGGTGTGGTCTCGCTGAAGGATTCTCTCAAGAAATTATTTAAGGAGCACTCTTATGCCGTGGTCACAGCACGAGGCGGCTCTACGGCCATCTGGAGGCACGAGGATAGCTTCTACTTCTTTGATCCTCACGGGTGTGATGAGAATGGTGAGGGATATTACATTAATTGTACCTTTAGCTATTACAGAATTATTAGCTCTAGACTAGTAAATTGACTTTGGCCGAAGGTTGTAAAGTAGGAGTTTCTATTATTTAAAAGAAAAAATGTTTAGGTACTCTCACTACAATATAAATAATAGATCTATTTAGATTTTTTAAAATACGGCACCGGCACGGCTAGAACCGGCATTCACATCGTTTCGTGCTGTTGCTGTAACTCTCCAACAATTTATTTACAAATTATAAATAAATAAATTTACAATCTAAATATTAAATTTTTAATATATAATATGCCATCACATGCAATAACGAGTAAGAATATTAACATTTTCAAACATCTACAATAGGTCGACTTGTTTTTTTCTGATTGAAGCCTCGACGTTCTAAGCTTGGATATTTACTCATGAACTTGAGTGCAAGCCTCCCATCACTATATGAATTAAATATTATCCATGTCCAGGGTACCCTTCTGACGAGCCTCGTGCAACTGCCTGCCTCGTCCGCGTGAAGGGAAGCACGGACGACCTGGCCAATGTGATATTGGGAAACTTGGCTCCCGGGAACGACGACAGCTTCAACATATCGCCGGTGGCTGTTACTGCTAGCAAACTGAACGCCGAGTTGGGCGCACCAGAGACCAAGCTTGAGGTTTGATCAAATGAAACATCTAAATCTGATGGGGACTATCGACATGATAAAATAATAATCAGTTTCGACATAGACAGGGTAAAAATTTTAATGGGGTAAACATTAAGAAAACGGTTATTTATTTATAACACATTCCTTATAAAAGGACAGCATAACTTATACATAGAACTTTAACCAACTGAATTTTTCCTCCAGAGACTTCGCTTGTCACTATTCAAATTAACATATTCTTATCAATGAAATATCGTATTAAACTTTAAAAACAACATAGCGAAAATGTTCGTGATATTAGAAATTAATTATTAGTAGAATTTCATTAGTAATATTAGAAAGAAAGTACGCCCGCAAAGCAATGCAACACACAGGAACCCAACATACACTAAAATTTAAATTTATTTACACAATTCCACGTACGTGCTACCAAAGTAAAAGTCATATACCTATGCAAATAATACTTATTATGATGCTACAATTATTAAAAAAACATCGTTCATAATGTTGAAAATGTTTACAGAATAAACAATTCCAGTGGATTTCAAAAGGCACAGCGGCCATTTTGATGGGTCCACGGGGCGAGAATACAGCGATCGGAAAACTTGCTGACAAAGCTGGCATTGGGGTATGAATGAAGTGCTTCAATTACAAGTAATGATTACAGCCATAAGTTAACAGAACACTCTTCAGCATGTTATCGCTTGTTCCAGGGAGAAGACATGGCTGGACGTACTCTGGCGCTGCCAGCTGCTGCGGCCTTTGCTGCGGCCGCCGAGTCAGTTCCACCCCCTCATATGCACCAGGATCACATGTATAACTTCTTAGGTAAAAACTCAATAAGGTTCCTTTCGCCATAGCTTAGGTGTCTTATTCGAATTTAAATGATATTTGTCTATTTAGATGCTGGTACGGAATACTATCTTAACTATTATAAGAAAACGGGTAAAAAAGAGTTAACACCCGAAGACCTGACGGAGAAGTTTGAGATGGGCGCGAACACATTCTCGATAGAGCTGGGAGAGCCGATACGGTTACCTCTCAGGCTGCCCGACGAACCTGCTGGGGTTAGTCGAGTGATAAGAAGTTATACATTTATAGTTATCATACTATATAAAAATAAAGACGACAGTAGTTTTGTAGAAATACATAAAAAGATATTAATGTGTATATTTATTTATCTTATAAGGAGGGTGGCGAAGAAGAACCGGAGCCAGATGAGATAGGGGAAGGCGAAGAGGAAGAAGAGAAAGAACCGCCAATGAAACGTGAGTAATTTACTTAGAAAATATATTCTCCAATAATTCCTACTGACAGATATCGAACAAGCGACTCGCGCATAATACAGAATATATATTGAAATAACCCATAGCTTAGCTTAAAATTATAAACACTTTCAGAAATAAAAGACGCCCTCTTCAGGATGTGGTATGATGAAACTAAACCTACGACTGTGTCCCTCCTGGTGGGTGATTACCATCAGATGGGAGTGTGGATGAGAGCCGGTGGAAAGGTGGTGGCATTTGACCCGGCGCCGACCCTCACCAAGGGAATATTGACAAGCCAGAGAATTGCGAAGGGTTTGTAGATACGAATTGTAATTCAAAAATTATTGTCACACAACTATTTATAACTACTGAAGGAACAGTGCTGCGTTTCAGTGTTTTTCCGACTTTGTCTTGATAGTAATCAGAAATAAGATTGTAAAACGAGGTTACAATAGGGAGGGAAAATTACAATTCAAATTAAAACCCATGTTTTGATGTATCAGGTGATGAGTTAAGACTACAAAGGATAAAGGATGAGATGGCTGGTGAAGGTGGCGGTGGTGGCGACGAAGATGAGGAAGAAGCTGGTGCTGGTAAGGTTTCTATAAATGATATTAAATAACAAGAATTTGGTGCTTTACGTCTAACGAGTAGTTATATTTTATATACTCGTTATTTCTTTTGTATACTTGAAATACCTTTAATAAAATAGCAATTACTACTAACTCCGTTTTCAGAGGGTGAAGAAAAACCTGAACCCGAGCCAGAATTCGTCCCCCCAGAATCCTGTCCAGCTCTTATGGTGTTCGCTAGTCCTGGAGAGTTTATTGATAAATTAAGTAATAGTGCTATGTCATTTTGTGTTCTGATAATACTAATTTTATCTTGGGTACGAATTTGTGGGATCGATAACTTTATTCGGGCAGGACTTCGATTTAATGTTTTGCCCAAAAATAAGATTTGATCAGAGAAACAGTTTCAGGCCTCTCTCGGGGAAAGGGCATTTTAAAATATCGACAAAATATATAAGACATTCGTGTCAACAATAGGTACTCACATTTTATATATTTTATCAGCTCTCCAAGGCGGACTTGACAAGAAACAGTGTCTAGCTCCTTACAAGCTTTATCCGGTGAAAGTCACGAACGAACTCACATCAGTGCTGAAGGAGAAGAAAGCTCCTGCAGCGAAGAAGGCAGAGGATGAAGGTGCCGATGAGGAAGGTTCGTTACCTATTTTAAGCATCAAAGACTTAAATAAACTTAAAAATAAATGATATATATAAAGAGTTAATTACATAAGATCACATTATTATCATTGCTGCTATTGATTGCCGAGTAGAATTCTTTAAATTGATTGACACAAGTTAAAAAATATATTTGTCTGCTTCACATATTAGACACATGTATTACAGTAAGTGAAAAAATATTCCAGAGGGAGAAGAGCTGGTCGAAGAACTAGATGAAGCAGCTATCGGCAAGTATTTTACGCGCCTAGGAAGAGCAGTTGCATCCGTCCGCGGTCGAGTTGCGCAGAATGAGAACTACTTCCTTGATCAACCTAATAGGGATAATCAGGTAATACAATTACTGTGATACAAGCTTTGTTTCACAATTAAAACCGTAAGACAGAGAGGGAGGAGGTCCAAAAAGGATTTACTTGTTTGTGATAGATAGAATATTTAAGAGTGTCAAGGATTCTCATTTAAAATCGTATGTCCTAGGATGCAGCAAACGCGGCGATGGGGATAGTCGTAGATCATATAGAACCCTACATCCATTGGAAGACTGCGCTTTTGGACAGCATGCTGAAGTACGGGGACAGGCTGTACAGCATGTCCGTGCCTCGGGCCGCTAATCCGCCCAAGTTGAAACCCAGTGAGCTGGTCCCCAACTTTCACGTTACTAGTTTTAACGTAAGTAGTTTTGTTTGATTCGTTGATGGACCTAATTGATTCTATTTTGTATCGTCGAATTAATGTGTTTATCAATTTTCAGGTGAAGTTGGAGGTCGAAGCGGATGTTGTAACTGGAGACATCAAAGCTGGTGATACCGGTCCAGTTGTGGGACTTAAGAGGGGCATATTAAAGTTCTTTGAGACGGTATTTCATAAAATTCTTTTATTTTTTGTTATTTATAGCCATGCTTGTTTTTTTGCTAACTAACATTGCTCACCACAGACCAACGAGCCTCTTTATAGAACGCAAAGTAAAGTGATCTCTACTTTGCGTTAACTAACATTAAACTATTTTAATATATGAAATTCGATTTAAATTACATATATATTAGTTTAATTATTAAAAAATGTTTTAACTTTATATTTAGTACAAGCACGGCATACTCTGCGCGAAGGAGTACTGTGTGGCTATTTGGCGGGCAGCAGACGATAAGTCGTATTGTATGTGGGAGCCCCACGCTGTCGGGCCCCAGGGGCTGGTGTCTCCGGGGGGAGGTTGCGCATTGATCGCTTACTCTATGCCAGAACAGCTGGCTAACACGTTCTCTAGTAACATCGGGAGACTGGCAAGGGCTGGTTCTAACAAGTAAGTCACTTTACATCTAAGAAGATTCTTTAACTTCGATAGCTATTAGTTCTTGTGGTTCAAATAGTACTGTGTCTGTTGATTGATAATTTACAAATAAGTTTAAATAAAACACTTTAACGGTTTAAAACCCGATATATATTAGTTTAACTGTTAATCATACATTTCGCAATAAAAGTTATACCATTGATTCACATAGGCGTTCTGTATTATAACTTAAAAAAAAAAACAAAGAAAATATAGATTATTAAAAAAAATAATCTTACAAACACAGACTAGTAAAACATTTATATAATATTTTATTCGGAAGTATGTTTTAACGTTGTTCCCCTTACCGTTACGTTGAAGCTTTCTAATGCTTAAGGGGTTCATATTCAAACGTAGAGGCTAAAATATTACTTGCGTTGTAAAACAAAACAATTTAAAACATGTTGATGGTTTAACCACAGAATGAGGACTTTTTCATTGATGCAAAGATTTTTCGCCAAAAAATAAGTCCCTTAGTTAATATTATGCCTCCTTCGGCAGGTTTAGTATATCAGCCGTCAAGGTATTCTGGGAGCTGTCCAAAACCCCTGGACCAGTGACGCCGCAGGGTACAGTGCCTGACGAAGGATATGAATGGAAAGTAAGGCCAAGTTTCCACTTTGTAGATAAATTAATCAAGAAATTAGTTGAGATGGAGATTGATATGGATTTTTCTTGAAGGTGCTAACTGCTTACGTGGAAACAGCGCGTGGTAGAACTATCTTGAGAGGTTCTCGACCACCGGACTTGGTCAAGTGAGTGCTTTACTTGTGCCTATTTGTTTTTGCATTTTGAACTCTATACCGTAGGCATATTTTGGCTTTGGATATTAGGAAATTCATAGGCGGAAACCGAAACTCGAATGAACTTCACGGCTTTATCATCTATTAAGAGGTGATTTGTGACTGGACTTCGATCATTTCGATCTTCCATCCACTTAATATCCATATTTCACACGAAGGCCCGACTAATTTCAGAAAAATAAATAAAAAAAGAAGTACATAATATATTAATAACTTTTTCGATCCAGTGGGGGTTGAACCCACGAATCTAATCTCTATTGACATCTAACCAGGTTTACTCGAGACGCGCTCCTTCAGTCAGCTTGCGGTGCGATAGTCAGTGCTTGCATGTCCCACATTCGTCGACCGCACCTCTGGACACGGCGTACTGTCGACGAGACAATGGCGGTCGCCTGTCAGCTGTTCACCGCATCGCTGGGCTCGCTGGGCTACGAGTTCAGACCCGGAGAAGATGTGTTGCTGCCTTTACAGGTGAATCTTTATCGTGCTACTTTTTGCGAGTTTCAAATAAAATACTTTTAACACTTTTAAAATTATTTTTTTTATATTTAATTTAACTACGTCTGGCGCTTTGCAGCAGTCATTCTGCCACGCTAGCTATATTTCCCGTTTTAAACCGTTAAAAGTGATTTATTGAATTGTACTACTGGCATAAACTACAAAGACTACTTTTCTTTGTCGTATCAAAATCAGAATAATTAGATCCAGGGCCTGTCCTGGTAAAAATTGTCTTTTGCTTTCTTAAGTATTCTTTCTTTCTTAAAAAATGGCGATCAGATTGTGTTTACTCAATTAATGATAATTTTTGTGTGTCTCAGGTATTGAAACGCTTCGTCCTCGGTGTCAATTACGTGAGGTATGACCTGCAGCAGGTTTACACTGGAAAGCTGGAACAGAAGGAACCCACGGAGATGACTGTGAGGTCAGTTGCTTGAGATTTAGAATTTGTGGGCCCATCCTTAAACCTAAGATTTATAGTGGTTGTAGATTTGTTCTAGGTAATTTTACAGGCTTTAAAATTAAATTATCTTGGAACCTTTTTCTTTGTTTAATTAAAAATATGTCGGACGTTAAGTAAAATTAAAGTTCTTGGAGCTCAATTGGATATTTTTGGGAAAGTTCTTTTGGGCAACAAAATGTGTTGTTGTAAAGCTCACATTCCGTTGATTTTGCATTTAAAGAGGAATCATTCTTTCATACTTATTTTTTGGGTACGGTTTGAACCGTTTACATAACGCACCTAATGGACATTTCAGAGATGAATAGTTTTCCCCGATTGTTCCCCATTTCCCACTGTTTATTCATCTCTATTAGATGTAGCATAGTATAGTTTATTTCTCTATTAGGTGTAGTATAGTTTATAGCCTCAAGCCTTTTTCAATAAATATTCTAAGCAACACAAAAGTAATGTTTCAATTCGAATCGAATGATTTATATACTGTATGTGACTTGCTTCAATAGATGTGCTTTGGAGAGATTCTTCGAGTCCCACACGCACGGGATTCTATGGTCTGTCCCCCATGCTGTCGCTGTGTGGAGGGTAGCGGGAGCCCCGTCCTACTATATGATGGAGCCCCACGCCTGTGGCCCGACGGGGTTGAGGGTAGACGCTCAGGTATTGTTTGACGATGAACTACATTTATTCAGAAACAATATAATACACGGGGAGGAAAGGAACTTCAATAAATACAATAATAAAGTTGTCTCTAAAAGAAGTCCACTACTACGTAGTTAACGTTGGGACTAATGTCCCAACAATGATAGTCATTGGTTTCTTTAGAGACAAGCGAGGTTACTTGACATTGTCTAGTATACTCACAAATACTTGTACATATATAGGGACATAAAATATTATTCCTTAGGTTTCTTTGCAAGCCCTTTTAGGGTTTAATATAATAAACATATTATTTCAATAAAATTATTTAGATTTTTCTCCGCGTCATTACATAACAGCTGCTTTTAACTTTCCATTGATATTTATAAAGTTTAACTTTATTTTACTTAACTCTTTGCCCCAACAGGATGATGGAGCGGCTTGTGTTCTAACATTCACATCAGCCAAGTTGATGGCATTTGCGTAAGTTTATTAATTAATATTGTAGTATGTAGTATATTAGGGTATAATTGGAAAGAGATTTTGACGAAAAATATTTGACATTGAAAATACAGGCGGGACTCAAACTAGCAACCCATGATCATTTATCGCACTGTAATTTTAAGAGCCTATATTTGACGACGGTGACTATCTTGCTAAATTCAAATGGCTTAGCTACAACTTATACATTCAATAACGCTGCCTCTTCCAGCTACCTCCAAAATATTCCAGTGGTAGAGCGACCGAAGCACGATTTCCAGCTGTACGCGATGGCAGCTGTTATCCAGCCCATCAAGAAGTTGGGGGGCGTTGAACCGCCCCTCGTTCGTGCACCACCCGGAGTGAGACTCGTTCCGGCTACGAGTAAGGTGAGAAAAATAACAATTAGACATTGAAACAACTCACATATTAAAATCGAAACGTGGATTTTACACTGCATTCCGTTTTGTGGAAGTCGGTTCATGTCTCGGAGGGAAACTCATATTACTCTATTTTAGAAACATCTTATTTATTGAGTAAAAGTTGTATGCCTTAATGTTATATGTATATATAATCACTACTTTCCCAGGTTGATGTGCACGGGGGCAAGCGCCGAGCGTCCGAGTCGGATAGGAAACATCCCCCCGGCAGTGCCACCTGCGTAGACGCTCAACGTGCCTCCGAGAAGCGAGATAAGGAGGAAGGGAAGCTGAAAGGTGAATAATTTTGCTTTACCACCTTGTATTTCTAACTAACCACAACAAATATGGCCGATTTTAAACCATAGAAATTTAGTAATGCCCTTTTAAAAGAGTGTAGTCGTTACCACAGATGACATAGGGTCAAAGAAATATCAATTTTATATGGACCAAACGGCCTTAATATTCAAAATCATTTATGACGACATTTTTTTAATTCTTTTTATCATTATTATTTAACTTGATGTTACGCCATCGTGTCGTGTGATGTGTCGTGTCGACGACGGTTCCCACTTAAGCACGACCGCTGAAAAGCGTTACAAGTTCTACCTTCTAGTGTCGTCGATTTTGCTTACATCCCATCCTTATGTAAATGTGGCATTAAAGAAATTTTTATCTGTACATTTACTTAAATTTATTTGATGATGAAATTGTGGTTTTCACTAAATGAATTTGAGGTAGTATCCAGTGTATCAAAGTGTTTTCAGCATAAATCAATGTAAACCTTGTAAGAAATAAATAAAAGAAATAAACCCCAGGTTAATTTGATAACTTTGTCTTGTGTCAGGTCAACGGAACACGAGCGGATGGCTTGTACTCCACGATGGGACGCAGTTCTTGTCTGCACAGCACTCTATGGCCTGCAGGAAATTCCCATATGCATCTAGAGGAAACCAGGTGACTTTGCTGCAACTTTAATTTCGAGCGTTTACCTTGATAAGAGGAACAATACACGTGATTTAGATGGCCGTGTCCGCGACGACGTCTATGAGTTTTGGCCATCAAAATTTGTTTTTTACCATACTTTCTAGCGAGGTCTCTATAAGGCCACGTTACATATTAAAAGCTAAAATATCTCAACGTTTATTATCTAAAAGGCGGTGGCGTGTTCCGTGATGGCAATAGCCATGTCTCGCGTGGAGGACGTGTGCCGCTGGTGTTCCTCCACGTTGGATCAGATCCTCGAAAGTGGGGACCAACTCTACCAGGACAGTTACTTGCACTTCCGACCCAACTCGAAGATATTGCACATGCAACAGGTATTGTATAATTTAAACGTTGAAATAGAACACTTTAACGGTTTAAAAGGCGAAAGATATTAGTTATACTTATTTTAATGGCAACGTTTGCCGACGTTAGTCAATTCTCCAGTTCGGCCAGTTTCACCAAATATAACGACGAAGACCTGTAACCTGTGAGACCCATGACCATGGCTGATACAAAGCATCCGAAACGTCGGGTCGTAGTTAACATTTTTTTTAAACTCCAAGTACATAAGTTTATTATTATGTATTTGGAGCTTAAAAGTGTTTTATTTAAATGTTTACTACACGCGTAAACTAAATACTATATTTTATTTAAATAATAATTTAAAATGCGAAATAATTTTACTTTAACACTTAAGAAAGAATTAAACATTTTCTCTTTCAGGTCCTCCGCAAGTTCTATACTCCTGGTAACTGCGTGTGCCGGGTCGTGGTGTATAGAGCTAGGCAGAAGGGAATCGTCGACGATGACCTGGTAGATCAGGTACAATATTTGATACTATAAACGAAATAATTGTCATTTGAATCAATGGCACTAAATAGCTATTTAATTTCTTTAATTTATGGGTTCTTTGATATTTCATTGATTTTTTTATATCACTAAGACGCGACTAATACACCCAACCAACTGTGGCAAGTTAAAAATAAAATATCCTAATATTTATTATCCTTGTATATATATATTTTTTTTCTTACACCTTCACAATAAGTTAGTTTCATTTTACTACCCATCTATATGACAAAACTAAGTGTGGAAATTGTGATTGGGTCCTTATTTGTTTTCTATTATGGAAAATTTACAGCTTAAAAATAAAGTAGACCATTTACCTATCATTAGAAATGTTAATATTTTAATAAATAAATAAAAACAATATACTGGGACAGCTAAGATATTATATGAAGTTAGTTTCTTAGAAGGCTGTCGCGGCTATTTTGCAAAGCTCCTGCTCGAGCTGTCTGGTTGATGCTTCGACAAAGCACAAAGCCTGATGATGTCTAATGATGATTAAATAATGATTTGTAAGGTTGCCGAATTCTTTCGAGAAGAGAGGTCTGGTGTACTGGTTGCCGGCCGTGGAGACTTCGCAGTCGCATTGTTCAGAACGCCCCGAGGTAACATTTTTTAATACATTCAATTCCATTGAAGCAATTTTTAGGTAATAATATAATAGTTCCAACACGTTTCAAATTGATTCATGATTTTTCTAAAAGTTGGCTTCTGGATATTAAATGTGTATGAATATCATAAAATCCGGCCGGTTCTCCGGCCTTTCGGTTTCATTCTTTGGATACCCGAATATCCAAATTTAATATAGGTCGACAGCATATCTTGTGAGATTTGATATAGCTGGGCTATTGCACCTGCCATTCGAGTGGATACGACTGAACTTAATATTAAAGTTTACTTTATATACAGTGAAGTATTGACATTTATTGAAGGCTTTCAGACCTAGAGGAGGCTTTGCGACCCATTCGCAGAGCTTCGTGGGTTGGACTACTTCACACACTTCCTCAGCTCGAAAACCTAAGAAGCTATTCATATATGAATCTAGTAAATTCAGCCCCTTCAACAAGCTATATTTTGAATGGAAGGCAAAGGAGCTATTTCCCTTCAGTTCTCTTTGACTACGTTGTTGTGCTTTTTTTTAGGATTTTACATGTTCGACCCGGCCGACAGAGACCGCTACGGTCGCGCTGTGGCACCACCTTGCACCGGCCGCGCCAGAGCCTGCTTCTCACAATACCCCAATGTAATCCTTCCCACAAATACTCGTATAACGGCTATTAAAAATATATAAATCTATATTTTAAAGCTGAAGAGTGTGTTTGTTTGAACGTGCTAATCTCAGGAAAAAATTTTGTTTCTTTCGTTTGTTTAAACATCACGCTGTAATTAATACAAAGAAATAACGGGAAATGAACAACCGATGGAAATTATTCATGTCTGTGGTTGTGGGTATGTGGTGGAAAAGGGTTTAAGACACCAAAAAATCTTATCAAAAAATATGTAATGATTCCTCTTTACTTGATCAAAAAATTTGTCCGACACTATATGGGTATCTTGTAAGATTAACTTGCAAGACGGGACGCGACCGACGTCGCGGGTAACAGCTTGAATTTATAAAGATGAGGGGCAAAAACAAATTTGGATGGCCAAATGTCCATTCTACGCGGAAGAAGTCGCTGACACAGCTAGTTTTGAAATAACTTATTTGGCAGGTCAAAACGCTGTGCGAGAAACTAGGACCTAATATACCGCCCGTTACTGGTGTCAAACAGGACGATGATTCATCTACTAAAGACGTAAGAATAAAAAATAATAATATCTCTCTGACGTACATTTCTAAGTTACAAATGTTTTGATCTTTCCTTTTTAGGTAAAGGTGATAACGGATAAATCCAGAGAATCTAAGGACGAATCTAAAGAAGATAAAGAGGTAATATTATATGTACAACTACGCCCTCTTGCGGCTGTTTATGTATTTAAATGCGCAGGGCTAAATTTTGACAATTAGGGATTCATTTAAACAAAACAATGCTTCCAATACGTCCTTGTTAAATTAAAAAGTACATAAGTTAACCAATATATTTTTAAAACGTTAATTTTTATTTAAATGTGTAAGACAATACAAGAAACCAACAAAAATAATTATATTTACTTCACTTTGTTGATTATTGTCATAAAATTTATACCTACCTATATAAATTTAATTTTCGTCACAATTGTAAAACATTTCGGCTAATTCATTGTTATATAACAGGTTCATTTTGAAGAACCAGCCTCGTTTGCAATATATGGCATGGATGTAACCAGCCTCCGAAGATTGAATCAGCATGAAAGATGAAAACGTTTTTATTTCAGCCCATTTGTTACAGCGAAGTACTGTGATGTATATTGTTGGTTTTGTAAATTTTCCGTTCAAATCATTACTGCGCCATCTAGAGTTTAAATACACGTACTTCCCATCAACACGAGATGGCGCTATCTGCAATTAATAAGTCATCTGAAATTTTAAATTGTTATAAATATTGTGAGTCCACATTGCGTAATAGTGAAATTATAGTAATAAAGTGTAAACTGTACAGTTTATTTTATTTAGTATTTATCGTACAGTTATTTGCATAACAAGACAGCTGTTTTTGTCTTGTACTACATACCATGAACTAAATTTCAGTAGTTTGTAATCGTATAGGAAGTCTTAATAATAATGATGCTCAATGATACGTTATATAAAAAACTACTTTACACAAGTCTTTCAAAATCCTCTTACTATGATAAAATTGAGAATAGATACTATGGAGCTCGTTTCGATCTGTTACCGCATCTGTTAAATAACCCAATTTTTAAATGAAATCATTTTGTTTAAAACGCGAATTGTTTTAATTAACTTTTGACGTTTATCCACTTTTAAAGCAGTCGTGGTCTCAGGAGGATTAACGAATTATACAGTTCGCGTTTATATAGCTAAACGTGCATTAATGTGTACCACTTCGCTGATATCTGTAGTGGTTGAATATAATACTCTACAAATTAAATACATACTTGTCAGATCAAGATTCGTCGATGTAACTCTTCAAACCTCCATAGGGCAGCAGCATTGCAGCCAGCATTCCGACATTGATACCCGACAATGTAACATCAAAGGGCCGCCATAGAAATATTTTTTAATAAATCCAAAACAACTTAAACGTACATATCAAATTAAATTTAGTTAATTTAATTCTTGGAACGCTAAAAAGCAGACAGTCGATGGCAGTTGGGGACAAAAAGTGCGTAATTAAAAATTCGGGAAAACAAAATGGCGGTTGAGGACACACGATTCGAGCGGTCGCAGCGACTTTCAACCGATTCCAAGTAGTGTAAGGTTTTTTTAAGATGTAAACTAGTAATTAAAAACAAATAATACATACGTTATTGTCCCTACAAAAATGTTACAGAATTAAGATCCAAAAAGAAGTTATAAAATGTGTAGCGAGAAACGACGGCATTTCGCTAAAAAGCGATTTCAGGCAACCTCGTAAATTTACAATAATAAGAGATGATAAGGGTAATACTAAAAATAGAATAAGTTTAAAAAATCATTATTTTCTTAAACTTTGACTTAATGATTTTCAACTAATTTAATCAATCGAATATGTAAACCATGCACTTGAACATTCAAATCCTGAAATATCTTAGAGAAGACAAAATTGAATTTTAGTAGTTTTAAACGCAAAATATACTTACTATATTTTGATAACCTACAATTACTTTAACAACCGATTAATTCTACCAAAATATGCTAAGTCGTTTGTTAGATACTATATTTTTATAGATTATTTAAATCGATGTATCTAAATTCTAATTAACTTTTAAAAATACTTTATGATGCCGTATTTTAAACTCTTCAAAGGAGTCCTGGACAAGTTATACTTGAAATTTCAAATATTCTTACACTTACTTTACAGCTTTTATAATTTAATCCAAAGAATTAAGAAGTGAATTACGTCAAAACGCGACTTTATAATTTCTAGCATATATGAAATATGATTCCAGTTTGTTCAATTCCAGATGTCCGCATAACTCGAGTGGTCCGCGCAGCTAATTATTATGTAGTCCTGCTTCGCTCGGCAATATCTCAAGTTCGCCCGTTGCTGACATCTCGCGTACTTCCATACAAATATACAACGTAGTACATCCCTTTTATTCGCTCTTTGGCTACTCGTGCTGTTGAGATAAGACATTTTTAAAGATAGCTGAGGACAAGCACAGGGTAACTTGATGGTAGGTGAAATATCGTCTAAACCATATGCACTGTTGGCCTATTTTGGCTTTGGATTTAATATCCAGATTTCCAGACGAAGTGCAACGTGTTTCAGAAAAATTATCAAATGATTAGAAAAATGATCCCCATGCCTGTCTATATTCCTCAATCAAAAAAAAATATTTCGCGTTTTATTTATTTTTACTGACTTCCGTGTCCAGATCGATTCAAACATTGACCCTAGGACGTCTCAAACTTAGGCTTTAAGTTAAATGTTTGACTACTTTTGCTGTCTCTGTTACATTTATTTATTTATTTAAGATACAAACTGTTTCCTACATAACGTAAAAATAAATGAATTTCACCTTTTTATATATACACGTTTCATTTGGTTTATTGCGAACACCTTTAGTCGACAGCATTGTGAATTGTCAAACTTAGTCATTCATTCTCCGAAAAGCAACTAGCATAGAAAAGCATAATCGCAAAAAATCTCATTTCCTGTCACAATGACAAGGGTTGACATTACTAAAGACATGGTCACACTGATTGCTATACTTCACAAAACTATTAAGATTATATGCAATTATATACTTACTCTTTAAATAAAACGCTTTAACGGTTTAAAACGCGAAATATATATGTTAACTTATTAAAAAAATATTTTAACTACCCCCCGACGTTTCGGATGCTAATAGCCCCGTTGTTAAAATCATTTTTTAGTTACTAATATATATCGTGTTCTAAACCGTACGTGTTTTATTTAAATGTGTACTACTCGCGTAAACTACAGACAGTATTTGAACATAAACATAGAAATTTCTGATAGTATGCACATGCCTTATATTCGTGGCTAAAGCTGATTTATTAATATTGCAAACGGAACTGCCCCATTGGCACACTTTATTATGTATCGATTTATGTAAAGTAGTTCGTGGATTATAAAAGCCCGTCGCTCTATTTGGAATTACCCTGTACCTACGTCAACTTTTACACCCAGCCATAGCAATGGCACGGTGGATCTCATGATTGAAGTGTGAAATCCCGTGTCGTCGTGGGGCATCGGGCGAACACATTTCTGTGTCCGGTCCACTGATCCGTTCTTTAACGGTTGATCAGACTTCTGTGCCCTGCCTGACCGAAACAATTTGTATCCCTGGAATTCGAACCCAGGACCTCTTACGCTTAACTCAATGCTAGGCCATACGTTTAAGCATTTCAAAGTCTAAAATCACTTATTCTCTAAGCTATAGGTACACTTGAACGCCACACCCGTTAAACTAAATACTCGAAATTTACATTTATTTACACCTATATCTTTAAAGAATTAAAAATACCAAATTAATGTGTATGTAAATTATTTTTTTAAGACAAAGGAAACTGAAGCACTCGGTAGCTAAATTGGTATAGCAACAGCACGGAACGCTGACCATGCCGGTTCAAGTCCTGCCCGTGTCGAAGATTTTTTCAATTTATTTACGATTTTTAAATTATATAGTGATTAAATTTCCTAGCCTTTTTATCTGTGCTGATTCATGACTGGGTAGATTTTAACATATCTTCCATTTTTGCCCAGATTTCGAAACAAAGTCTAACATGTTTCAGAAGAATTATAAATTGATTAGAGCCATATTGGACGTGGTGGGGATCGAACCCCAAACTGTTGATTATAAGCCTGAGATTATAAATACATTGCTACGAATCGGCCTAAGAGCCTGACGAAATAGATAAATATTATAGTAAAACGCGGTTATAAAGAAGAGCCTAAGTTTTTATTTGTTAATTATAGCTTAAATAAAAGGATATAAAATAAAGCTTTATTTTAGTGAAATCGAGACAGATTAGACCGGCTAGAAGTGAAAGTTCACCGAATAATCTGTAAATTAGGTAAAACGACACCTCTAGAACTGAATGCGACTCAATTTTATGTCCCGAACACAATGAGCTTGCTCTAAGCTGTGTTAGTTACGGCTAGTGATGGGCTACGTCGATAATTTTCGCGTTTAAATATTCTTAAATAACATGTTTTTAATTAATTAGAAACGAGCCCTGGTCTCACTTGATATAGGGTAAAATGTCTATCTATCTAACATCTACAACAAGACCTATGTTTTTGACAACTTTCACAGCTTGAAACCGAATGCGGATTCATCACTTCACGGCTCCATGTGTGGATGGTGGTTCGAGACGAATGTGAAATTTTATTCCAATTACGCAGTATTCAGATTTTTGACATGTTATTTCACATTCATAAAAATAAAAACTATATTAAAAACATCTTGAATCACCTGGAATTGAACCCACCATCCGTGGATAATTAGCCATAATAAATAATGATGTATAAGTAACTAGCATTAAGGTTAAAAACATCGTCTTTAGAAATATGTAATTTCTAATAAATATTATTAAAACAAACATCGCAAGTATTTACCTTAGTGTTCGTTTTGAAACGGAAAATAATATTCGTATCTTTTCGGACATATTAATATGTCTGCACGTAGCTTACGAAAACGGGATTCGTTATTATTGCTTCATATTTCCTTATAAAGCAATGTATGTAGTTTATGCAAGTGATACACATAAAAGTAAAAATAAAATTGACGCGTTTTAAACGGTTTAAAACACGATATATATTAGTAGTTAAGTTATGTTTATTTTAACTACGGATGCATCCAGTATGCTTTACAGCAGTCACGGGGGTGATACGACTGCGGCACATTTTAAGTCGTTAAATGTGTATTATATATTTTATGATAATATATTAATCGATAGGCGTAACCCTTAGCACAACACTACCACTTTTAATGTTTCTCATTTAATTACCTCTACCATGACGAACTAAGTCCAAGAAAATCTATAACACAAGGCGCATTGTGGGCTTAAGGGTTTTATAACCTTGTACTAAAAAAAAGATTTTCAGGACTGTAATAAATTTGAAAAATACGCATTTAAAATACCTTTTTTGCTTGGGTTTTAATTTAATTTCACCTATTTCTTAAGTTACATTAAAATATATTATATTTTAGACGAATACTTCGATGACGTCATCGAGGAGGGGGTAAAAAGTAGTAGTGACAATATAAGCTTACAATTAGAAAGAG